CCTCCCCCTCTTTCCTTTTTCCTTGCTTGCTCTCTTCCCATCTTTCTTTTTTTTAAAAAAATCTTTCCTGTTTCTCCTTTCCTGTCCCTTCTTGAATGCTCAAATGCAAAAGGGGAAATATTTCTTGTTTTGTTTTGCTTTCATTTAGTTTGTTTTGCTAGCCCTCTGCCAGCAAAAATAGAGTGGGGGGGGGGCTGCGCACAACCTCAGCCCCCATTTTCGGCCTGGATGGCCTCCTGAAGCCTTCTGCCAGCCCCGTTTTCAGTCTGGACAACCACCTGAAGCTATCTGCCAGTGAAAATAAGAGCCCGGGGGGGGGGCAGAGGCACCGTGAGCTGGTCCTTTGCCATTTCCACTGCTGCCCCATGGGCCAGAATTAAGCACCCCGTGGGCTGAATCCACCCCACAGGCCCTGAGTTTTACCTCCTTGGTTTAGACAGAGTTAGGGAATACGGCTCTTTTATTACTTGTGGACTTCCCCATCCCCATTTTCAAAGAGCCTTCTGTATATATAAAGCAGAATCAGTGGGGTACATGTAAACTCTGTTGCTACTATCTTGAAGTTAGCCATATTATTGACCAAATGCAGAGGACTCTATATTGAAATTCAGATATGCATTGCTTTTTGTCTTATGCAGGTAGCTTGTGTCTCTGTGGAGATCAAATTGAAGTGGCTTGGCTAACACCTGTTATTAAACAGGAGCTCCATAATGTCTCAGTTCCAGGTAATCTAAAGGCCCTACCATTCAGCTGGAGCCACAGAAGTGTCCTTCCTCAAGTGTCTTCCAGGCCTATGGACTGCCATATGCTACCAGCAAGAGCCACTGTGTTGGATTATTTAAAACTGCAGTGTGAGCTACATCAGCTGGGCCCTCCTGTAATCTTTACAAAATGTGTGCAGAGGAATCTGGAAGACTGGCTGAAGTTCTGGTATCAAGTGGTGATACCAAAATATCCATCACCCTTCAGTGGGTTCATTTGGATTAAGCCTGATCCCTCTGGCTTGGAAGACCATGAAAAAGTGAAGAATTTTGTGGCCTTGCAGCTCCTTAAAGTCCTAGGTAAGTGTGCTTATGGTTTAATTTGGAAAGCAACTATTCTAGTAGTGGTAGTTTATTAACTGATTATTTCACAAAAAATAAAAGTAAAATGCAGGGTCAAATTCTAAGTAAAATAGATAAAATACAGTAATAAAATACAAATGTAAATACAAAAAAAATCAACACTAGGATAACACATCACCTCATTACCTAATACTCTCATCTATTCAATATAACTCTTAGCTGAGTTGCCTTGACTATAAACTTAACAGTTCTGTTTACAATGTCTACATTAGAGCCCAGGAGCAAGTGGGGCAATCTGAGATTCAGGTTCTAGTGGACTGTTCTTTCAAACAGGTATGTTAAACGCTTAAGCCTAAAAGGGACAGAGTTGGCAGTAGAATAACATGTGAGCAATATTTTTGAAGGCTGGGGTACCACATGTGCATGTCCCAGACATATCATGAAGTGCCCATGTTTGGTCATGGAATCCAACAATTTAAATGTTGCTCTAGAATAGATCCTTCTTAAGAATTACAAAAAACTCACTGACAGGTATTTTTCAAATTGGAAAATGGTTTTATTCTTAGCTAATTTGAAGATCTATTCTTTGCAAATAATTCCATGTGTGAGTGTTTGAATTTATGGCAGAGTTGAAAAAGGAGACATGCGACCAGGGTCTGAAGTTTCAAAGATCATTGCAGTCAGATGGTTGCACTTCTGGTTCTTGCAGTATCCCATGAACTGCAGTGATAGCTTAATGACTGCCACAAAAAAGTCGGGTCAGTCACATGATTGATCTGTTTTACAACCATTATGACTTGCAGTTATAATGGGCAGGCAGGCTCCATTATGGTCATAATTCAACTCCCTCTATTCAATTCTGGATTAGCATCATCCTGCACAGCTAATTTTAGTTGTTAATAAATGTGCAAGTAATAATGAACTTGTATTTTCAGATAAGTGAAATGTTTGTAGACAGTGACAAGTATGATAAGATGTATAGCATATACCATTTATTATTTCTTTTTCTTTTTTTTTTCTTTTTAAAGGCAGTGAGACTGGAAATAACAAAAAAAAATCTAAAAGTTTTTTCTTTTCCCAACAGGGTATCCTGTGATGTAAAAAAGGATCACTCTTCTAACTAAAGAGGCTTGTGTGACTTGCCCTTTTAATTGGTTTCACTGAACCAATTTATATGGAGAATGTATGCTGGATCTCTTTTGTCTTATTTTCTGTGGGAGGATTTGAGAATTTTTTTGTTCTGGTTTTCATGTTGATAGGAAGATGAGAATTTCCAGTTCACTAAATTATTTAATAGGGTTATTTTGGAAGTAATCTATGCAGTTCTAGAAAAAAGCTGTTGGTTACTGGATAATATGTGTGTGTAGTCCAACAGTATTTAAACTCCAGCAATGACCAATACCCTTTAAGATTGTGGGTTGTTTTTCTCATGTGTTCAAATATTGTCCTTTATATTTTACTATTTGAATGTTTTTATTTCTGACAGTTTGAATTTACATTACAGCCAGATGCCTTAGGAGAATAGCATCTTGGAGATACCATAGTACTGAATGTTGTTACTGCTTGCTGGGTAGGAAAAGACCCCTTTTCTATGAAAGGAAGAATGTTTCTTAATACTTAATCTTTCCAATATTGGAAGCCAGCCTGCCCTGGATAGGGAGGCCTTGTTCTGACACCTTTCAGTGCTGGAATTGACATGTAGCTCATACCTATATTAAAGAAGTTTTGACATAAACATTATGTAGCCCCTTTCTTGAAATAATGACTTGCTTTATTGATTACAAGATTTCATTGTGAAATTTAATGCTTATACATTGTTTCTTGCCTTCCACACAATTGCCTTTTAAAAAAAAAAAAGCTTACTGTCGTATTGGCCTTCACTTTTGTCATCACTTTTGTCAAGGTGATAATTTAAGAGCTCACCAGCTGATGCAATGATGGGAATAAGTCAGCAGGAGCTTTGGCTGTTATCCCTTTAAGAACCTATTTAATAAGAGGAGGCCCTGCCAGAGTGTTTACAGTTAGTGGTTTCTTCCCTGCTGTAATTGCTGTTTTTTTAGATGCTGCTTGTAGCAGTGTATATATAGTATTCCTATATTTCTATTGTAGATAAAAGCCACTATTTGATACAAACCACTGTTGGCTGTATTTGATCCTGGGTTGATACATGGGATAGACCTGTGCACACTCTGACAGCTTTCCTGTGGTCTAATGGTTCTATGCATGAGAACTAGGATCATTTATTCAACACTGCTTTAACACAGCATTGCCATATAGTTAATTTCATATTATTTATAGTACTTTTATGCCATCCAATTCAACTATATGGTTTGTGTGAGTTACAAAAAGATCAAACAACATAGATAATACAAAAGAGAGGTTGCTCATACAATTAACTCTCCTGATAAAGGCTGAATATCTCTGTAAACATGTTTTCCACAATTTGCAGGAAATGGAAGAAAAGGTGAGGCCAATGTTCTAAACAAGGGGGCTGCTCTTAAGGTCTGTTTTTAGCCTTCTCCTGACCTGAATCTCATGGGGGTGGTAGTTTCTGCATGCTAGTTGCTAACCACCAATCATTTAGCGAAAGAACAATTGCTACAACAGTAGCAATTTTACTTTTACCTTCCCTATTAACTCTTATCACAAACCAGTTGTGAAGAATGTACAGTGGTGATTATGTGACTCTGGTATGCTGTGATGGTTCTAAATGCATGCCAGTTGTAAGGTGCCTAAATGCTGATTCTATAAACATGGGTTACTGCAACACTCAGGAATGCAAGGATTGGTCACAAAACCATTTTTAATACCATAAACATTATGGTATTTTTTTAAATACCATAAAAAGTGGTCAGTAAATAAGGTAGTCAATGAGGACTACCTGTAATTTCATTTAAATATACAGTATAAAACACAAATTTTTGCTGTGGTCATATATGTATCTTAAACAAAACCAAGATTCATCCTGTACTGGCTAGTTCTTGCTTCCTCTGGAATAGTGGTTGGCAGCTCTAAGCTCCCTAGCCTTCTATTGCAAAACTCAAAATACCTGAAGACCGTACTTAAAAATTCACAGAGATTTCAGTGGCAGCATTTTCAGCTGAAATAATGTGGGAATGTGAGCACAAGATATGAAATGATCTGAAAGCATACCTACAAACACAACAAACCAAGGGCAAGCAAAGGCAAGCAAAATTAACCATTCGAATAGCTACATAACCAAAGGGTCTCTTATGGTATCTTCAACTATTCTCTACTGAAATTGATGGGGTGTAGATTCATGAGAGGAAACTGGACCACCTCTTGCTTTTTGGGGGAGATTGGTAGACTGGAGCATCTCTGGGGTCCCTTCCAACTCTATCATTCTGTTTCGTTATTCTGATATTCTTTCTATGATCACATTATACCATCAAGCAAAGAAAGTCCAGAATGGTATAAGAATTTCCTGCAATGGGCAGGGGTTTGGGCTAGAAGGCCTGCCTCCAAGGTCCCTTCAATCCTATTATTGTATATTCTATCTCCTCCTTCACCAATACATCCCCTGCATAAATCCTATTAAGGAAGGCTAGCATTTCAATTTTTGTTTTCCTTCCCTTTTAAACTAAGTCTTATTTTACAGGCTTAAATCTATGTTGTGTATTTAACTGGGTTTTTTATTTATATCTCGTCTATTATTTTCATAATACATAAGGCAGGGAACACGTACAACACTCTCTTCTATTTTCCTCACAACATGTGTGTGTTGAAATGCAAGTGAGTGGCCCAAAATCTTTGGCTTTCATACCTAAAATGAGACTAGAACTCTGTCTCCTGGTTTCTAGCCTGGTGCCTTAACCACTAAACTGGTTATTGACTGTAATCCACTTGAGGTAATTCACAAACAAATATATTAAATTGATGCATCTTTATATGTGGAATTATCCCATTTTTATTCTTTAAAGTTCCAGAAAAACAATAATTTAGAAACTCCTGAAGTTCCATTAGGAACATCAATCCATTATTTAAATCTGTTTTCTTTTGAGTTTAAGAGATATCCTTGTTTTGCTACCATAGCAATGAAATGGAATCCATTCGCTAGGTGGAGCAATAGCCTGATTCCTAAATATTTTAGGTGACAAAATGAAAGCATCACTCCATGGAGGAAACAGACGTTTGGCCTTTGCAAGGCAAACTCTTGCGATACATAAAAAAAATCTTAATATTCTAACTGTCCACATATGATGACATTTCATTTCCCCTTTCTGTAGCAACCATGTTCTCCCATTTATCTCAGAGATGGAAAAATTCTTCCAATCTTAGCTCTCTTCTGTACTATTAGTTCTATTAGGCTACCAAGGCTTTGCCCACAAAGCTTAAATATCCTGAAGCTAATTCTCAGCATGAAAAATACAACATAGCTGAATTTTTCCAAAATGTCTTTTCGAGGGAGTAAGCATCTAATCGGATCTGTGTGAGTCTTTCAGTCACTGTCAGTCTCAGAAAGTCCACCATTCTCTTTCTCCAAGTCTGCTGCCACCTCTTTCAAGTCTGCAAAGAAATCTTCCCCATTGCCAAATGCTTTGCGACTTAAAGGCTTCAGTTGTTTATTTTTCTTCTTTTTTCTGTAATCGTCCACAATCACTGAACTAAGTGAAGAGATGTCCCAGAATTTCACTTTTTGATCATGGCCACAGCTGGCCAGGAATTTGCCCGTATGACACTTAGCCAACTGTTCAATAGGCTCACCCATATGCTGCCCAACACTTCCTATTACTCGGTTGGGCAAGATATTTACAGCCCTGAAATAAAAAAAAAGCTTAATTACCAAACAGAATGCCAGTTCTTTTGTGGAGAGAGGTATTCAGCTCTATCCCAAGTTCTTTTTTTAGAAAAAATTAATCCCTTATATAAAGGTAAAGGTTTCCACTACCAGTTGTGTTCAATTCAGTTCTCATCTCTATTTTTTAGCCAAACTTTGTCCAAAAATGCTGCCATGATCCTATGGCTGCCATGATTATACACCAAGGCACATTCAACACTGTTATTGTCCCATCAAAGTGGTACTTATTTGCTTTTAAACTGCTAGGTGGCAGGAGCTGGGGCAGGAATGGAAGTTCACCCCATTGCACTTGGGTCTTGAACCCAAGCAATCAAATTTCCAGCAGAGAAGTCCAGCATCTTTAACCACTGAGCCAATCATGCCTCTCTTATGCAGCTATTGGCCCAGGAAACTAGCAGAATTTTTCAAGGATCATCTCCTCAATCTCTTGAGTACAGGTGAAACTCGAAAAATTAGAATATCGTGCAAAAGTTCATTTATTTCAATAATGCAACTTAAAAGGTGAACCTAATATATCAGATAGACTCATTACATGCAAAGTAAGATAGTTCAAGCCGTGATTTGTCATAATTGTGATGATTATGACTTACAGCTCATGAAAACCCCAAATCCACAATCTCAGAAAATTAGAACATTACATGCAATCAATAAAACAAGGATTGTACATAGAACAATATCGAACCTCTGAAAAGTATAAGCGTGCATATGTACTCAGTACTTGGTTTGGGCCCCTTTTGCAGCAATTACTGCCTCAATGCGGCGTGGCATGGAAGCTATCAGCCTGTGGCACTGCTGAGGTGGTATGGAAGACCAGGATGCTTCAATAGGGGCCTTCAGCTCTTCTGCATTTTTCGGTCTCATGTCTCTCATCTTTCTCTTGGCAATGCCCCATAGATTCTCTATGGGGTTCAGGTCAGGCGAGTTTGCTGGCCAATCAAGCACAGTAATACCATGGTCATTGAACCAGGTTTTGGTGCTTTTGGCAGTGTGGGCAGGTTCCAAGTCCTGCTGGAAAATGAAGTCAGCATCCCCATAAAGCTCGTCTGCAGAAGGAAGCATGAAGTGCTCCAAAATCTCCTGGTAGACGGCTGCATTGACCCTGGACTTAATGAAGCACAGTGGGCCAACACCAGCAGATGACATGGCTCCCCAAATCAACACAGACTGTGGAAACTTCACACTGGACTTCAAGCATCTTGCAGTGTGTGCCTCTCCATTCTTCCTCCAGACTCTGGGTCCTTGGTTTCCAAATGAGATGCAAAAGTTGCTCTCATCAGAAAAGAGGACTTTGGACCACTGAGCAGCAGATCAGTTCTGTTTTTCTTTAGTCCAGGGAAGACGCTTCTGACGTTTGTTGTTCAGGAGTGGCTTGACGAGGAATATGAAGTCCCCAACACTTTTGAATGGCCTTTTCCTGACAATCCTCTCCAGGCTGCGGTCATCCCTGCTGCTTGTGCACCTTTTTTGTCCACACTTTTCCCTTCCACATAACTTTCTATGAATAATGAATTCATAGAATGAATCCAACTTCATTTGCAATTACCTTTTGAGGCTTTCCCTCCTTATGGAGGGTGTCAATGATGGTTTTCTGCACAACTGTCGGATCAGCAGTCTTTCCCATGATTGTGATTCCTACTGAACCAGACTGAGAGACCATTTAAAGGCTCAGGAACCCTTTGCAGGTGTTATGGCTGAATTAGCTGATTAGAGTGAGACACTTTGAGCCTAGAATATCGAACCTTTTCACAATATTCTAATTTTCTGAGATTGTGGATTTGGGGTTTTCATGAGCTGTAAGCCATAATCATCTCAGTTATGACACATCACAGCTTGAACTATCTTGCTTTGCATGTAATGAGTCTCTCATATATTAGGTTCACCTTTTCAGTTGCATTACTGAAATAAATGAATTTTTGCACCATATTCTAATTTTTTGAGTTTCACCTGTATTGTCATACCTTATTTGCAATTATAGTTTGTTTTTGGCCATCTGCTAAGAAGAGCTTAGCCAGATTTTACCCAGTTTCATTTGCAGCCAGTCTGTGTTTTTGTGTACCTGTCCAGCATTAGCATCTCTCACGAGAGATCCTTGTCTCATGACAATCTCACCTAATAATTCCATCAGTGGAACCTGTGCACACAATGCTCTCGGTTATGGGAACCATGCAGTCTATGGATTCTGCTTTCAGTGCAAAACGGTCACTGGTGGCACCCAAACCATCCCAGTTGAAGAGGTAAATTGTTCCCTCACTGGAGCCACAGGCTATTTTCCTTCCCCTCTGAGCAGGAGAAAAATAATACATACTTTAGTCAGAAAAAAAGCAGAATATCTTTTGTTGATATTAAGAACAAGGTCTTGAAAAGAATTTAAAATAGAAAAACCCTATTTATCAAAAGCTTAAAGCAGGGGTGTCAAACTGGAATTCTCTGAGGGCCTCAGCATTGCAATTCTCCTTCTGGGAGGAGGGGGCGAAGGAGAGAGAAACGGGACAGAAGCCTCCTACAGCACCTGCTGGCCAAAACAGGGCACAAGGGGGCGCATGAGCCCCCCCCCCCCATTTTCAACCTGAACAGCCTCTTGCAGCACTCTGCCAGCCAAAACACGGTGCAGGAGACCTTATGCCCCTGTGCCGTTTTGACCAGCAGATTGCTACAGGAGGCTGTCCAGGTCAAAAATGAGGTGCGGGGGGTGGGGGGGGGGCATACATGCTCCCCCCACGTCCTGTTTTGGCTGCCAGGGGCACTGCGGGCCAATACTTTGCTATTTCCAAGCAGGTCCTACGGGCCAGATTTAAGCACCCCGCTGGCCGGATCTGGTCCGTGGGCCTTGAGTTTGACACCCTGGCTTAAAGCATGCTATCTTGAACAGTATGAAATAGTACTGAAAAAGTCTATACACCAATGCACAGAGTATGAGGAATAAACAGGATGAATTAGAAATTCAAGTAAATGAGGTTAGATATAATATTGTTGCCATTACGGAAACTTGGTGATGAAACCCACAAATGGAACATATAGCTAGAGGGATTTAAATTATTTAAAAGAAATAGACCAATTAAAGGGGAAGTGGAGTTGCACTATATATAAGAAATAACTATATTTCTATAGAAATAGAGCACAACAATTATGAAAATTTTCTTGAATGCATTTGGGTCAATATTAAAGGGGAAAAAGTGACATTAACATAGGGCTATACTATAGGCCACCCAACCAGAAGAAATCAATGAACATTTTGCTAGTCAGCTAACTAAGGTATGTAGGAAGCACATCACAATAGTAATGGGGGATTTCAACTACCCTGACATCAACTGAGAGACAAACTCTGCACCAGGTGGAAGATCCAACAGGTTCCTAACAAACCTAGCAGACAAGTTTGTTTTCCAAAAAGTAGAGAAGGGAACAAGGGGATCAGCCATATTGGACTTAATTCTCACTAACAGAGATGAAATGATAGAAGGTGTTGAAGCTACAGGAACCTTGAGGGCAAATGATCATGCAATATTGGAATTTAACATTATGCAAGCACAAGTAGTAGAACAAAGTCAAACTAGAGCCTTGGACTTTAAGAGAGCTAATTTCAATAAACTTCAAGAGAGCTTGGGAAGGATTTCATGGATAAGAATCCTGACGGGAAAACAACTCAAGAAGCTTGGGAAATTTTGAAAAGTGAGATTATAAAAGCCCAGTCTAGCACAATACCAATGAAGAAGAAAAATAACAGCTCTCAAAAGAAACCAGCATGTCTGCATAAAGAATTCTCTGACAAATTAAGACAAAAAGGACTAGTAAAAAAGTGGAAAGAGGGGCAAATAACTAATGCAGAATATCAGCAAATAGCCCGAGCCTGTAAAGATGAAGTGAGAAAAGCTAAGGCTCACAACGAACAAAGTAAAAAATAACAACAAAAGTAAAAAATAACAAAAAAGCCTTCTTCCAACATGTTAAAAACAAGAAAAAAGTCAAAGAAACAATTGGTCCATTGCTGAGAGAAAGTGGCAAGAAGGTGACAAGCAACAGGGAGAAAGCTTAACTACTTAACTTGTTTTTTTACATCTGTCTTTACACACAGGGAAAAAACAGTCCTACCTATTAAAAACAGCACCAGAAAAAACAGAATAGGAACACAAGTTAAAATAGGGAAGAAAATGGTAACTGAACACCTGTCTACCCTAGACGAGTTCAAATCACCAGGACTGGATGGATTACACCCCAAGGTTCTGAAGGGACTGGCAGACGAGATCTCAGAATCACTGAACTATATCTTTCAAAGATCCTGGAGCACTGGGGAACTGCCAGAGGACTGGAAAAGAGATGATGTAGTTCCCATCTTCAAAAAAGGAGAAAAAAATAGATCCAGGAAACTACTGACCTATCAGCCTGACCTCAATACCAGGGAAGATTTTGGAAAAGATAATCAAGCAATGAATCAGCGAACACCTAGAAGCAAGCAAAGTAATAACCAAAAGCCAACATGGGTTTGTTAAAAACAGATCATGCCAGACTAATCTTATTGCATTCTTTGACAAAATGACATAATTAGTGGACCGGAGGAATGCTGTCAATATAATTTACTTGGACTTCAGTAAAGCATTTGATAAAGTAGACCATAACCTACTACTAGATAAAGTAGAAAAATGTGGGTTAGACAGCATCACCATCCGATGGATTCACAACTGGCTGACCAACAGCACCCCCACATAGTCCTCAATGGAACTGCATCTACATGGAGGGAAGTATGCAGTGGAGTACTTGAAGGCTCTGTTTTAAGCCCAGTACTCTTGAACATCTTCATCAATGACTTGGACAAGGGGATAGATGGGGAACTCATCAAATTTGCAGGTGATACCAAGCTGGCAGGAATAGCAAACACTCTAGAAGATAGGCTTAAGATACAGAAGGATCTTGACAGACTTGAAGATTGGGTGCTATCTAACAAAATGAAATTAAATGGTGAAAAATGTAAGGTTCTACATTTAGGCAAGAAAAATCTAATGCATAGGTACAGTATATGTGGTACCTTGCTCAATAGTAGTAACTGTGAGAGGGATCTCGGAGCCTTAGTGGACAACCATTTAAACATGAGCCAGCAGTGTGCAGCAGCTGCCAAAAAAGCCAACACAGTTCTAGGCTGCATAAACAGAGGGATAGAATCAAGATCACGTGAAGTATTAATAATACCACTTTATAATGCCTTGGTAAGGCCACACTTGGAATAGTGCATTCAGTTTTGGTCGCCACGATGTACAAAAGATGTTGAGAGTCTAGAAAGAATGCAAAGAAGAGCAACAAAGATGATTAGTGGACTGGAGGCTAAAACATATGAAGAACGGTTGCAGGAACTGGGTATGTCTAGTCTAATGAAAAGAAGGACTAGGGGAGACATGATAGCAGTGTTCCAATATCTCAGGGGCTGCCACAAAGAAGAGGGAGTCAAGCTATTCTCCAAAGCACCTGAGGGCAGGACAAGAAGCAATGGGTGGAAACTAATCAAGGAGAGAAGCATCTTAGAACTAAGGAGAAATTTCCTGAGAGTTAGAACAATTAATCAGTGGAACAACTTGCCTCCAGAAGTTGTGAATGTTCCAACACTGGAAGTTTTTAAAAAGGTGTTGGATAACCATTTGTCTGAAATGGTGTAGGGTTTCCTGCCTAGGCAGGGGGTTGGACTAGAAGACCTCAAGGCAGCTTCCAACTCTGTTATTGTATTCTATTCTAGGGACATCACACATTATACTAATGCAGGAAAATACTTTAAATAATACCTGATACCTTAACCATTATGCCAAATTGGCTCTCATAGACCTTGCTATCATCCATATCAGAAATAAGGTAGCTCTGATTCATATCTGCAAACAGCCTTTTTCCCAAGGTGCAGCTAGATAATGGAACTTACTTTCATCAGAGATATAGCCATTAAGTCTCCATTCTGAGGTTCCGAGAGAAGCTCAAAGCGCCTTCTCCTAATGTTGAAGACTCCCATTGTTCCATCTCCACTGCGAGAAATAGGATGGTACACAATATTTATAAAGCTAACTTTATCTGGAATATGACATACAGGAATGGAGCATTCTGGAGAACTCTAAAAATGTTCTGCTCTCTTCTAGATCATATAAAATCTCCTCTTATGAATTCAGCAGTTTTCAAAAGTAAGTTTTGTGATTTAGTAGTTTAAGATGCCTTGAGTATGATGTCCTGAGTGGCTTCCAGTTTTTGAGACACTTCGAACTGTTTCAGCAATTTACTTCTGGAAATTGCTGGTCTGCTCCAGAATGGCATGTTCCTAAAGGGGAATGGAATGTTCTTGACTTCTCCAGAACATTCAATTCCTAAATCACTAAATCTTATACATACCTATTTACATTCTGACAAATTCTAATAAAAGTTTTATTTATAATCACTAGCAGTTCAAAGCTGGCTATAGAGAACTCTGTATTAATGTGAAATGCCATTACAACAGTGAAAAGAATAACACCAAAAGTAATGGTGATCGTTTTTATCTAAAAGCTTTTAATATTTCCCATTCGAGCAACTGCTGTAAAATATCTGCACTCTAAACATACAAATGTAACCTACTGATCTACTGAATTAACAGGAGAATGTGGTACCTGGTAGTGAGAAGCAGCTTCTTGTTTCTATCTAGGATCATATCACTGATGTAGTCCTCGTGCTGCTTCATTTCCATGATGGACGTGCCCTTGCGCAGGTCCCATACTTTCAACACTCCACTGTCATCCCCTGTAGCAAACAAATGCTCATCTATCACCAATAGGCTGTTCAAAGCTGAACTGTGGAAATTTCAGAACAGAAGAGCCAACATTATAACCTATTTGCAGAGCTGTTCCCATTTTTGACCCCTTATTCATATAATTCTTCTACTCAAAGGGCATGGCTACCATTTACTTAACTAAATGGGAGGACAAAGCTGTATTGGATATGTTCACAATCCTGAGTTATTTGCAAAAATAATTAAAGCATGATATAAATAAATAAATAGCTTGAGCTCAAGAATCTTAACACAAGGGAAATAAAGAACTATAAGTAGAAAATATAGCACCCTCGTAAATGCTTTGTTACCAAGGCTACAGAATGGCTAGTAAATAATTCAGATACTTACTTGTGAGCCTTGGAGAATCGTGTCACAAGACGGCCTTCCTCCACATTCAGGATATGAATAGATTTATCCTTGGATACTGTGAAAAGGCCTGGAATACAGAGGGGAAAAGCCCATAATCATGACATAAGACCAAGTTCCAAAGGGCAGCTTTTTCTAAACAGACACCTTTCACAGTTTTGTACTTCAATACTTTACCCTGACTGAGGGCTACAAAGTGTGCGCATATGCAACATCCTTTATTAAAAAATTAGTCTCTTTTTTTAAGCTATTCTGAAGGCATTAGCCTTTACCAATCTATTACCCAGAAAAAAAGGCAGCTTGTGTCACTCTAATTGGCCATTTCTTGATTCAAAAAGATCCCTATATTATCAGCTACATAACCAAAAAACACCTTGCAGGTTCTGTTATAACTACTGCAAAGTAGATGATAAACTATACTTGCTATATTTCTCCTACTTGGATTTTTCATGACTATGCAAGATATCCAAACAGAATGTAACTATCAGCTTTCCATTGCAAGTATAGTATCCTATCTTGGATCCTCAAAGCAATTTAAAGTGTACACTATTTCTGAAAAAGATTCCCAATTACTGCTCACACCAATAGGCTTATAACAGCACTGTATGTTTGTTTCCTACTTTGACAATTTTATATTTATAAATAAAATTCATTTTATATTTATAAAATTTATTTCACATCGTATCTTTATGGATATAAACAAAATATTGGTGTTTACAGAAAGACCAAAAACAGAACTAAGTGGGCACACTTTAGAGCAAGTAAATTGTTTTAAATACTTAGAATAATTTCTCATGATGCCTATAGAAACTACAGCATGCCTATAGAAACTACAGAACACAAAATGCATCTAAATGCACATCTGCTGTCCAGGCATCTCACCTTTCTTGGACTGCCTCATTTGTTCCTGCTGCAGAAAAACTCCTTTCAGCAAAGAGTTGTGGCATTTGCGTCATGGAATATATTTATGCCAACTTCTCAAACAGGTTGAATTTGTTCAAGCTATCTTTGAGAAATATTGTTGATGTGCCCTTGACAATTTTCTGGTGCAGTTGGAAGCATTGTTACTTAAAGTTGAAATCAGCATATAGACTAACTTTGTTGAATTTAATTTAAAGCTTCCATTCGCCTTGTGAGCTTAGCACCATCTGTATGTATTCCAAGGAACATTATAAAAATCATAAAAGCAGCAGCAAAAAAAAAGCGGGGGAGGCACTCACTTTGTCCATCTTGCGAAAAAGATATTTTCCGGCAGGATTTTAAATGATGACCTGAGGACCAAAGTTCTTTGTTTTCCCCTTCCAAACAGGAGTATGAGTATCTGTAATTATGATTTTAAAATGGAAAGAGAAGTATCAGGCGCCTGTTTAAATAATCCCTGCACCAATAGTATACAATACTTTAACCAATACAGATATATTCAACCATCTTCTCTTGCTACTATTCATACACACATACCTCATTTAAACTGCATACATATCTCTCTCCTACATCTGCCATAAACACACAGAGCAATCCCACTTTCAGTAACATCCATACACATCCAGACACACATACCTTCTCTACTCTGCCAGTCATACCCTACTCTGCCAAGCATGGGTTTTTCCAGCAGATACAGAACCTCCTTCTTCCTATCATAGTCCTCAATCTCTCCACCCCCAGTCTGTTTGATCAACATCACACATTACACAAAAGCACTTTCTCTCTTTAAGATACAGTCCCCAACCCCCAGGCCGTGGTCCACTAGTGGCCCATGTCCCGTTCTGAACTGGGCTGTGTGAATGATGGACATGTGCGTGTAGCGTCACTTGTATGAGTGGTAGGCACTCGTATTCATGCATGTAGCTCCATTTGTGCGAGCACCAGGCACGTGTGCCTGTTGCTTGTGCAAATGGAGCTGCGTGTGCGCACCTATGACTTAAATGGAATAATCCCATCTTCTTGCCAGGCCAAGCTGGAAAGGTTGGGGTCTGCTGCTTTAAGAGACATATAGACATGCACCTAATTTCTCTCTCTACTCACACAATCCCTTTGTATAAGACATATACAAATAATATTTTCATATAGAAAGACAATTATGTTTTGGCACTTTTACTGTCTTTTTTGCGTCAAGCCAACAGATTCTTTCTGCTCTAATCTGTAACAACTTTATTCTCAGTAAAGTATACTTTTTTGGGGGGGGAATGAACCAGGAGCCTTTCTTTGCTAATGAAACTAAGTGGGATGGATGATATTGATTTAGTCACAAGTACGCAGACCCCTTTTCTCTCTCTCTCTCTCATTCACTCTCTCTCTCTCTCTGCCCATCTCCCATTAGTAAAGACAGGGATATCCTCTCCATCTCTCACACATAAGCAGAAATACACAGAAATTCTTTCTTTCTAGCACATAAAATATTGTGGAGGGTCCTGATACAAACAGGTGTCCCTCTTTCTACCATACCCAGCACTTCTACCCACATCTTCTCTCTCTCTCAGCCACACTTTTGATCACTTGCAATCTCCTCTCACAACTGCACATTTTCTGGCCTGTTCACAAAAATATATCTCTGTCTCTCAGAAAGACATGAATTTGATGTACATCCACCCAAATGCCCCAAGCCTTTAGTCAATCATACAGATGCCCTTCCTGTGCTTTCTCCCCTCTACAGGCAATTGCCTTTGTCAGCTACAGATAAGACACACACCCTCAGTCTCTTAATTGTACACAAAGCTTCTCTTCCTCTCTCTCTCAATTATGCACAGAACTCCTCCATCAACCACAGACCCTGTTTCTTAAGGAGGCCTCATCATTCTACACAGAGATTCCCACCCACACATACCCAGCATTCTTTTAGGCCCAACTATTCTTCTTTAGCCACATACCATCTCTATTTCATATCTATTCTCCAAAACTCTCCTTAATGTCTCTCTGGTTCCTCTTTGGATAAGAGAGTATGGCTCTCAAAGACCCACTCTCCTGTAATGAACATGCACTCCTTCAACATACAGGTATCTTCTTTCTCTCTTAAATTACTCAGTAGAACACACACACACACACACACACACACCAAAAAAGTTGAATGGTCTCCCGTCTCCAAATGACCAAGCTGTCCTCTTTCTTAACTACATATATACAATTAACACCTTGCTACTCAAATATATACATACACAATCACACATACATCAACAACTACATATTCTCTTTCTCCAACATATCTTATTTATCTTTTTGGAATGATTTCTACTAGTGACTACAAGATCTAAGTCAGCCCAGCATAACAGTAAATAGGACAGATTCTGGATGATGTCTGGAAGAAGCCACAAGATTCTCTAGGTCTCAAGTTAGGAAATGGTTTTAGCTTTACGAACAGTTCCTGTTACTACCCATCACAGAGATACTCTTAAACAGATACTTCCTTTCAGATGTGTTTTTTCTATACAAAGAGATGGATACTCATTCTCTCTTAGACATACCTCTCTCAATTTATAACCATACCTGTCATAAATCCTCTTGTTCTCTTAGTCAGCTGCATAAAATCTAACAATGGAAGCACACATTTCTTGTCTTTCTTAAACACTTACATAGATCCATCTCATTGAACTACTGATGCACCAAGGAAGTTTTTCTACAATTTCCATATACCTGACCCAAGAAGAAGGCTCAACCAGTAAATTTGACTGAGAAGTTGAACTCACACATAGACATCGCCATCAACATCTCCAATAGCTATGATGTCTCGGGAGGGGTGAAAGTCAATGGTATTTGCTGCTGCCTCACAGAAAATATCTTTAGGAGTATCATGAAGTCTAGGCTCCAGTCCAAGTTCTTCCTCATCCGAATGTTCCTGGGTGGAGTAGACAATAAGATAGTAATCGAATCTTCATAGTAGCTTTATAGTCCTTTACTAATGTAATTAACATAGTCCATATACTATATATTGTTTATTTATTCAGTTCATATCCGGCTTTCTTGAATTTAATTAATTGAACTTTATTTGGCCAAGTGTGATTCAACACACAAGGAATTTGTCTCTGATAACAGAAGCACTCTGTGTACATGCAAAGCAACAGAAACATCATCATCATCATATCAATAAAAGAGGGGAGAAAGGAAGATAATAATAATACTGCAACCAGACTACATGGGTATAATATACATTAGACAGTACTGAGAATTAGGTATTCAGCAGGGTGGGGGGACTGTCCCTGTGTCTAGGACTAGGTGTTTTGGCCTGCAATGTCCTGTAGTGCTGTCCTGAGGGGAGGAGTTGAAACAATTTATGTCCAAGATGTGAGGGGTCTGCAGATAACTTCTCAGCCCTCCTTGTGACCTGCACAGGTCTTCTGTGGAAGGCAGGATGGTTGCAATTGTTCTTTCTACCGTCTTAGACTCCTGTACCTCTCCTATTTGGTTGCTGTACCAAACCAGACAGTTACAGAAGTATACATTCAAGTCCAATTTCTTAATCATACTAGACCAATTGGCTTTTGAATCCTTCCATCCTCTTTTCAATATTTCATTAGCCACTGTCACTGATTTAGCCATATTTATTAATGTATTAATAAAAACCATATTAATCTTATGGTTATTTTCCAGCACCACCACTACAGTACATACGGTCATATCATCCTACAGCACCATAAACACAAAACGGAGAGAATAGGGACAGTGATCAATATGTGAGAACAGTTCAGCTGATTTACCTATCAAATTTTACTATCAAATGCTCCTAGAACTATGCAACGTTTGAGTTCTTTATACAAATAAAGTCTATTCAATACACACACATGCAAGCACGCATACATACCAGGGCCCCCGGGGGAGGGGGGGAGCTAGACTAGGGAAGCCAGGAGAGAGTCCGTTTCGGTTTGCCTGGCGCAACTTCTTCCGGTGCTAGCTTTCCTTTGTACCGGGCTTTGGTGCCGGGAGTTCTCTATGTTCACTACCCATAAAACTGATACCTGGAATTGGGGTTCGGGACAAAGGGTAATCTATGTCCCATAACATGAGGCGAAACAGCGAAGTAACTAATGACTTTCAGTAACTCTAAGCCAGTCCCTTGAGAGCCTCGAGCACTAATTCTTGCCGCACCAAAGCTCCCGCACAGACCACCCCTCGGTCACCTAAGCCTACCTCCCCAGACTCCTGCTTCCTGAGACAGGAAGCCGCGCAGGCCTCTTTCCCGAGCAAAGGGAAGTCCACATGTGGACAAGCGGGCGCCAAGGGTGGTGTACTCACAGCATCAGGCGCAGCCATTTTCACGACAGCAGTCAGCTTGCGGGCATAAGCGCGTTGGGAACTGCGGACGCCTGCGCAGCAAAAGGAGAGGCGGAGCGAGACTTTTCCTCTGGAAGCCCAGGAGGTAGAAAAGAGAAAGCGACGTGTTGATTATCGAAATGCAGGCTGGTTTTCTGTTGTAGTCGTTTTGTGTACCGAAGTAGCCATACTGTATGTACAGTGTCGATGTTGTTTACTGGGCAGAGCAGAGACTCAACCATCAGAAAAAGTAAGGAATAATTAAAAACTGGAAGGAGGGTTTTTATTTAATCCCCTAACAACGAACCAACTTTATCAAGAACGTTGACTACTAATCTATATCTTACTTTCCTTGGTAGGAGCAGGGGACTTTAAAAGAAACTAATCTTCCAGGAGTAAGAAAGAAATGGGACTCCCAAAGTGCTTTTCCAAGTGGCAACTGGACTTTCTGTTTTATCTTTGAAGACGCTTTTCTTCCATCCAAGACGTTTCTGAAGAACCAGAAAGTCCAACTGCCTCTTGAAAAAGCACCTTTGGGACAACTATGACTTGGATGACCGAGAATCTTATAGACAAAGAAATGAGAGCTTTTCCTTATATCTGTGGTTTTCAAAGCTCCTTCATTTTCACCGAACAAAGATTGAAATTCAAAGGCAAATATTAAGTCTCAACAAAAAGCCACACTTAGAAAAATTATTTTCTGATGATTTTTATAACTCATATACTGATTGCATTTTCCTAAAGTCTAACACTTAAAAATCATGGGCTTCTCCCACAAGAGGAATCCTGTCAACCCAGGTCTCTCCAGATTTAAGTTCAACTCCAATATCTTGACATGATACTGTCAACAAATTTTGACACCACAGTACAAGTATTATCAAATGCAAGAAAGATTCAAAAATCTTTCTCCACCTTCTCCTGAATAAATTACACAAAAACAAAATACAATATACGTGATAATCACAGGTACATTTTTTGATGAGAAATGACAAAATATCAGAATAAACACATGACTTGCATGCTGTTGTTGTTAGTTGTGAAGTCGTGTCCGACCCATCACGATCCTGTGGACAACATTCCTGTCCTCTACCATCCCCTGGAGTCCATTTAAGCTTACGCCTACTGCTTCAGTGACTCCATCCAGCCACTTCATTCTCTGCCGTTAAGTTCTTCTTTTGCCCTCAACCGTTCCCAGCATTTGGCTCTTCTCCAGTGAGTCCTTCCTTCTCATTAGGTGGCCAAAGTAGTTTCATCTTCAGGATCTGGCCTTCTAAAGAGCAGTCAGAGTTGATCTCCTCTAGGAGTGACCAGTTTGATCGCCTTGCAGTCGAAGGGACTCGCAGGAGTCTTCTCCAACACCATAGTTCAAAGGCCTCAATTCTTTGGCGCTCAGCCTTCCTTATGGTCCAACTTTCACAGCCATACATTGCAACTGGGAAAACCATAGCCTTGACGATACACACTTTTGTTGGTAGGGTGTTGTTGACACCTTATTAGGGCATGCCTGAAAAGCTTGGATTTGACATTTAATCATTTTTTGTCACTGTAGTTTGCACTAGGCACCTACAACCTCCTGATAATAAAGAATCAGTGATTAGTTTGGGGCAAAATTATGTAACATTAAGAATGAATGTGATATGAAATGAAGGAGCACAGTAATAGTCTTTGGGCCTTTTAGAGTACCTAGAATGAATGAGAACAATTACTATCGAATATCTGCTTAAAAGAACTTCATAAAAATTACAGTTATTATGATTTTTTTTAAACTTTCCTGTCCATAGTTTTATCCTTGAGCGTACATTTTGCATTTTGTAGATTCTTTTTGGAGAATCCAGCTTATCAACTCCAAAAACCATTATGGGTGCAATAATAAAAGTATTATGCGATGCCTCTGATATCTTGGCAGAAAGTTTGTTTTTTGCTAAAATCCCCCTAAATTGCCATTATTCCAGGCTACAAAGGAAATACTGGTACTCGTAATTTTTTTAAGTCATGGCATTGGCAAGTTAGCAGTATCAATACTGATCAGATTATTGCCAATTAAGATTTTAAAACATTTCAATTATATTCACAATGTAAATTTGAATTGTTTAAAATTGCTAATGAGTGGTATATTCAATTTAAAGATTTCATGATTTCACAATTTGTTTCACATTTTAGCTGTATTAGTCATAAGAATATTAAATATACTTCTTGGGTTGTTGAATTATATACCAAAATGTATATGTTTATAATGAATTTATCAAAATGGGTTGTAGCAAAAAATATTATTTCTTTTACAATATATAATAAATTTACTACCTTGAATCACTACTGTTTTATAAAATGGCTCTTTTGCACTGTAAAGATTAATCACTATAACTATCTAATGCTGTATTTAAATGCTAAGTTTTTAAAACATTATGTTTTGCCCTTTTTTACATCTTTGGTATTTTTTCTTTCTATGCTTCATAGTGTCATTAACCTATTGAGCAAGAGGCTTTCTACAGAATAGACAATTTGGTGACACTCCTTTGCTTAGGCTGAAGAATTCATAATCTTTAAGCGCTCCACTTACTAAGCTTGTCTGACCTGTCACCGCAGAGGTAATATAGTAATTGCTGCTGTCCATACAAGGAAACAGATGGTTTCTATTAATGAGAAATTAGAAATTTTTTTGATCAGACTAGTTTTCAGAACACAATTGATTAATAGATTTGGGATCAGTACAAATTTCCCATCTTTTTCCTGAATAGCAATAGCACTTAAGATTTATATACTGCTTCACAGTGCTTTACAGCCCTTTCTAAGCGGTTTACAGAGTCAGCATATACCACCGCCTCCCAACAATCTGGGTCCTTATTTTACTGACCTCGGCAGGATGGAAGGTTGAGTCAACCTTGAGCCTGATGAGATTCGAACTGCCAAATTGCAGTCAGCTGGCAGTCAGAAGTAGTCTGCAGAATGCATTCTAAACACTGCACCACCACAGCTCTTTTTAGATAGTAGATGGTATGTAGATGCTTTAATCATGTGTTTAAATCTTTATCTGTTTTCATTCCCTTTATTTGGTACCATATAATCAAATTTCTGCCCTGAAAACACAAAGTTAAATTCCTACTTAGCAATTACCAAATTTTAGATGGCTCATGAGGTAGTATGGATATACATAGTTAATAATTCTATTTCTCCTATAAATATTTAGCCAACCATTGTTTCTTTTTATGTGAGGCACAATGATAATTAGATTTTGAATAAATGTTTCAGTACCATTATAGATGATATAACCAAGTCACAAAACTCTATAGGTAGTCTTCCACTTACAACAGTTCATTAATGACCGAAGTTACAATGGCACTGAAAAAAGTGATTTCACATTTATGACCATGCAACATCCCCATGGTCATGTGATTTACATTTGCATGCTTGACACTCATATTTATAATGGTTAGTGTGCAGGCATCATGTGATCACCTTTCTCAACTTTCTGACAAGCAGTGAGGAAACCAGATTCACTTAACACCCGTGTCACTAATTTAACAACTGCAGTGATTCACTTAACAAATATGGCAAGAAAAATCAAAATGGGACAAAACTCAATGCATTTATCATTAAGCAACATAGATTTGAGGCTCAATTGTGGTCATGTTAAAAGCTACCTGCATTTCATTTGTTTACTAAAATAATCTAGTCAATATACATGTCATGCCCCTTGTGGAGACTGACTCTGAGGGAGAGGAAGAACAGCCGACAGGGAATGGAAGTGTGGCTCCAGAGGTTGTGGAGGAGGCTGGGGAAGGGCAGAGGCCGGCTGAGCAGTCAGAGAACCCAGGCCCATCCCCTATCCATCCTAGGACACGCAGCGAGACGATAAGGGAGAGACGTGGTCTACGTGGGAGGAGAGGGCCTTGATCCTCTTCATGGGCTGCAGGTGTGAGAACTGCGTAAGAGTTTGGACCTGCGTTCTCGCAAACGCTGGAGACAAAGCATATTTTGGTTTGAGGTTATCTTGGTTGGCGTCCTTCCAACAGACTGTGCCTTGTTATCTCCTTGAATTTGGTAAATACTTCCGTTGTGGAAATTTCATCATTGTAGTTTGTTTGGTTTTTATTTTCACCTCTATCTGCTCATTAAATTAGAACTGTATTGCTTTCTTTTGAAGATTATTTTTGAAAATGTTTTGTCTCCAACTGAGAATTATTGAACAGTGGGGCTAAGTTGGAGGCATTAAAGGACATTTATTTACGTTTTGGATTTTGTTACGTTTGTGTTACATTCTGGGTCATCACAATACATTTAAAATGTATATCCAAATGTTCAATCAATAAAGTCCACTAGATTGTGGTCTAAAATTGTAACAGCCTCTGTGTCACATGTTTCAACTTTAGACATCAAAGAATAAAAAGATTGCCAAATTCTGTTTTAATTCGTATATATTAGGAACATGTTTGAATTTAAAAGATATAATCCAAAATTTTATTTAATTACCAATATATTTATTATATACTTCATGTAAAGATCATGTATTTGTTTTGAAGAATCTTTGGTTGGACTGTAATAATTCATGAATGCTGATTGACAATTATCTGACTATAGATATTAAAAAGCAACCTTTTCATCATATAATGAATTCTACAATTAGCTTAGAAAACATGAGAATTAGCATTTCCGTTAACCCCAACCTGGTTTCTGTAAAAGCCATTTATCTTTAGAGAGATGACAGTAAGGAACTGCATATCTATTTTCATAAGATAGTTTTTATTTAATTGATACTTTTGTTAGAGTGGGTACCCCACTTATTAAAAAACAACACGTGAAACAGCTTTTTTCTTCACACTTGTTGACATTGTGTAAATCAAGAAGAAAATGGGCATTTTATCTTGATGACTTAATCCAGAGACTAGGTTCTTACAAAAGTTTCTAAGAGTGGTTCTTATGAATGACTGGGCTTCAATATTTGGGAGACAAAATACTGAATTTTTTTCACACAAGTGTACTTATCTCACACATTTACCGTTTAATGACTGTGATTTATTAAATATGTAGAAAATAGCAAAACTGACAAAAATTAATCTTTAACTATTGGAATCCAACAACAAATAGGAAAATTTGCAGAGACATTATCAGAAAGCTTAAGAATGGAAAGCTGTAAAACCAATCTTTAAAAATTATTAGTTGGGATTAAACAACTGATATATTCAGTGCTAATTCTGTAAATCCTTCAGTGGAAAGTATTATGGCTTCTTCATTCATGATCATTAAACAAATATTTGCATTGTTTACTCCTATATTTAATCCTAAATTGGATTAATATTTCTATTATTAGCTTTAAGGACTTAATTGTGGCAATTTACTTCATTTAATTAAAATATTTGCATCATATTGTTATTTCTTTATTATTGCTACTGGGAATCCAAACATATAGTTAAAACAGTTCAAAAAACATAAACAATGACATGGCAATCCAGACTAAAAATAACCATACTAATAAAATCTTAGAGTGCTCTAACAGGGGTCTCAAACTGCGTCACATGCAGGCCACACCCACCCCGGCTCTGCAAAGGCAAAAAAGATTGCGATACATCAAGTGATGTCACGTGATGCGCTTGAGTTTGAAACCCATGATCGAGGAACACTGTCTCCGGGTTTGGAATAGAGCTAGGTCTTAAGGGAATTCTGAAAGCCAAGGGGAAAGGCTGCTGTTGGGAGGGCAGTGGCAGAGAAGGCGTATTTCCTTGGTCCCACAAGATGACAATGTTTGAGGGAGTACAAGACAGGCAGAAACTATCAGAAATAGTAAGTAACAATGGAGACCAAAGGTTTTTTCCTAATAGGCAGAATATGCTATGTAAGCTTATATCAGGCTGTATTTCTATATAGCAAACACTAGAACATTCATATTGCTTTCTGTATAAAGACCCCCTCCTCCCAAATCGTACCTGTCCCATATTGCCATGCATGCAAGGAACACAGTAAGAACTCTGTAATATAAACATTAGAACATTTTTTTAATTGCAGTACAAATCCAAAGTGCAAGCCCCTGGGCAACATGTGCTGTAGACAAGGAAAAAATCATCTAAAAAGTTTCATTGCAATCAGGTGCTGCCCTTCATATTCCCATATAAGCAGGAAGCAAGGTGGGCTTGTTTCAGTGACTATTCCATCAGAATAAAATCTCCACTAGAGTTGAGCTTTCGGAATACAACTGAAGGAATCAGAACCTCCTGGCAGCTTCAGTATTTTGGTCTCTTCACCTCAACCCTGAAATTACAGACGTTTATATGAAATGCAGTAAGATGGGGCACTTTAGCAGAAACGACACACACAGACAAAACATACAGTACTAAAGACAAAGCATATCTAAGAACAAAAAATGCAGAAGGTAAAGTAATTAATATTCTTCAGACCACACATGTATCTCCTGCCACAAATAAGTAGCTGGAATTTGCTGAATACACACAAGATAACACATATAAGGTAGAGTTGGCTTCATGAGTACTTTTCACATCACATTAAACTTTTCAAGTGAAAACAATTATACTAACCCATCAGCCTCCATCTTCTTTCTTTTTTCAATGATCTGCAAAGAGAATACAATAACTGTATTGTGGATATGATATTAAATCATTTATTTTGGGGGGAACGCCTAACTTTGAAGCAAAAGATCATGTGAATAGCAGAAAAATCAAATAGACCAGCTGCTTTCTGGTAGAATGAATACTGATTCTATTGCACACATGAAAAAGTTTAGTTTGCTCCCACAATATAGAAAACTTTTAGGCATCAGAATTTTGATCATAAACAAGCTATTAGGTGTCACATTCTTACTGAAAGCCCTGACACAGAATTGAAGGGACCTAAAAATATAGCCTATTTCTATGCAGGAAACTGAATGAAATAGCAGAACACAATCCTTTCCAAATCTTAAAACCTGTAAGGTATGTGTGTAAAACCTTAAAGTACAACCTATGGTGGACAAAACAAATGTTACTAATAAATATAGCTTAAGATGCTTACTGCACTAATCTTTTTCCACTGCCGATCTAGTTCAGCTTTGTCATTGGTCTCTTTGAAACGACGTGTCTTACGACCTTCAGACATCTTGATTCCATACTGGAACGCTGCTCTAAAATAAGAGAAACAAGTTAAGTACAGATGGGGAATTTGTGATTCAACTAGTTTGATGCAAAAATCTAAGATATACTTTCTCAGCTCTATTACATGAGGCATCTTATGAAGCATTCTACAATACATAGGAGGAATTTAAGTGTAATAATTTTAATTTAATTTAATTAACTTAATATGGCTACCCATTCCAGAAAACTCTGGGTGGGTTATAAAATCCATAAAGAGTAAAATAATTAAAAACCACAAACAGGAAGTCCAGACTGAAACAAATAGAACAACAAACAATGCAATACAAATAATATGATGGGGGTACAACTAATATATCACATCATGTTAACCCTTGACCTGGGGACAAAGACAAGTCTTAAGGGTTTTTTGGAATCCTATCACTTATAAATAATATATCCTATAATACCATCTAACTTCCTACTCTTAACAACTACTAGCAAACTCACTTGGGTAAAGCCTCTTTGTTATTCATATACTCGCTATATTCTTCTTGTGTGTCGAAGTCCCAGCGACCCAGAGGTCCTTTTTTGTTTCCCTTGGGGAAGGAGATAAAGACAAATTATGTAGTAAAAAGAATTGTACCGCTTTAGGCTGAAAGTAAAGGAAACTGTTTTTCAATGCTCCATATTTTAGAATACTCGATCATTAATTTTGCTGCAGAAAAAGTAAACAAAATGTTAGCTTCCAAGAATAAAGTATCCAGACTATAGACTTTTTGCAGTGGGTATGCATACACATACACACATAGCATTACAATATTTTATCTCACATGGTAAAATCCATTGTGGCACCTTATCCAACTGCAAGTGAGGTTAGAAAGTTAAAGCTGTCAGGTTCCTATGAAAAAACTTCAATGTAAATATACACTAGACAAACCCTGATCCATTGGGTTAGCTTTCCAGATCTATTTCCTTATCAGATTCTACAATGCTTTCAGCAATGACAGAGCTTCTAATGTACTGCCTTCACTACAAAAAATCTCAGGGAGATATTCAGAGATGTATCTGCCTTGAAAATAACCCATGTTGAACTGAACAGCACAATTGACCACATGAGGTGGTTTTTGACATTTTGTATTGTCATAAAATGTTTTATAAAATTTGCCAAATTTCAAATGGCATGAGAGTAATGGATTCTGAATTTTGACAGCGATCTATAAGTTAGTCCATTTGAGGTACCTTGTTGCCCTATGCCAAGTTAAAGGTTACACACAAACCTGTAGAGTTTTAATAGTATACAGATTCCAAATGATTCATTATGGAAATATTACACTATAGAAAAATACTTATCGATGGTATACCTGATCCATTTTACTATAATCTACTTCTTCATCACTATCCACAGCCATGGCATCCATTCTAGGAAAAACACAAAATTGGCAGTAATTATATTTACAATCCCATTCAAAGTTATATTTTGAGATACAGCAGTAAGAAATCTGGAATTCTCTGCTTAGTTTATAGATTGTATATACATGGTAAAATCTAATACTGAAAAATTGGACTTCAATCAGCATCTACATCTACAGCAGTAGACTATTTCAAAGTTATATTCTCCTAGCCTATTACTCTGCCCAATTACTCAGTTGAGTAACAAATGCATTTTGCATGTGTATGTGTGTGTATACATGCTGATAGAAAACTTTAGTTGCAGGACAGTTTTGAATATCCACAAACTATTTAACTTTATTATCTAGATTTTACTGATTACTTAGTATAAGATCAAATATTTTCCAAGCTTGTGTATATGATAATGAATTAGCCCCATCAACCTCTGGTCCTGACATTTTAAATAAATAAATGTTTTATTTTGTCAAAATTATTTGCCAAGAAAATGTACCTGGTCCTTGAGCCAAAAAAAATTCACATTCCTGATCTGAATGTTTTTTTAAATTTGAAATTTATGTTCCACTATTCCAAAATTTAAAAAAAAACTTGATGTTATTTCTATTCCTATATCAGTAATCCTCTGAATGTTGAATACATAATATTCTTACGTTGCAGGGTAGCATTCAGCATAGCTGTTTAGCATTCCAAAAAAATCACCAACTTGCTTTTTATCTTCAGCCTTTTTTAATGTTTTAAAGGATAAGGAACAAAAGTCTTGAAAAGGACAAGATTGTCTCTACCTAATAAGCAAGCACCATGAATCCATGAGACTAAGCAGAATAAAAAGGTCTTAAGCTGTTCAGAGTAAGTATTTTCTTTCTCACAAGCTTTAGTAACGCACACATCAATTTCACTGGAGCCAAATACCTCTTCCAGTCACTCCACTGGAAATAATAGGTAGCTCTCAACATACAACTAGAATGGAGCCCGGAATTTCTATCCTAAGTCATAACAGTTGTAAGTCATGGTACCCATATGACTGGCCCAATTTTCTAACTTTTTTGCAGCAGTTCTTAAGCGAATACTGTGGTTTTTAAGTGAATTGCTGTGTACCTATGGGTGTTTTCTGCTGGAAACTGGACAAAAAGCCCATAAATTGTGGTCACATGACTATAGAACACTGTGACCAGCTATAAAGGTGTGCTGCTTGCCAAGTGCCTAAAATGCAATCATGTGAGGGGATATGCAACTGTCAGAACTTTGGAACTGGGTTGTAAGTAGCTTTGCGGGGGTTCCTTTAACTTTAAAAGATCACTAAGCAATTGGTCATTAAACAAGGATTATATATTTCCATAGAACATATATGTATAATGGCAGTCCTTGACTTATAACCATTGATATAATGATCATTCAAAATTATGACAGTGCCGAACAAAGGGACTTGCAACTGTGGCCAAAGTTATGGCCGCTGCAACACCCCTGCAGTCATGTGAAAATTTGGATGCTTGGAGCCCACCTGCACTTATAACTGCATGGTTACTGCAACTCCCCTGCTTCTGTCTATCTCCCTGATCCCCACTCTATGTTCTGTGGTACAATCCTGACATAGAGGCCAAGGCCTTCAGCAGTCTCAGCCAACGGTTCCCACTCTTAGGCCTCAATTTCAATCCCAATACTGCCTCTACCATAGAGAATTGCTTTCTCAAGCCCCATACTGTAGCCAGCCACACCAGCACCAATCGGCCCCATGATGTGGGAAATGAAAAGAAAAAGGGGGGGGGGAAAGCTTCTGAAGTATTACTAGACTGGCTCCTACCCTTTTCTATGCTGACAATCAGAAGCAGGGGAAAAACAACTGAAGATTGGTAGCATGTAGCTGGCCACAGTGTGGATCTTTAGACAGTATTTCTCAACAACAGTGGCAGCACCGGGGCTGAAGTTGAAATTCGGGGACGGCAGCAGCTGGCCAAGGTTGCTGAAGAGCCCAGACCTCTATTCCTGGCAATGTCACTGAATGCTGCATTGTAAGGTTGGCCTGGGCTGGCTCAGGCTTCCTGAAATGGTTGGTTTTGTACTGCACTGCAGCACCTACCCAAACTCACATAGATCTACACTGGCCTCCTAGGGCCTCTCCCACTCCTGAAACACCTTTGCATTCTTTACTGGGACTCTTCCATTTAACAATTTGCAAGATTCCTTAATGACTGCAACCTGGAGTGCCAGGATTGCAGTCATTGAGCAAAGCAGTCGTGTAAGGTCTCTCTTAACAACTACTTCAATGAACCACCAAGATTCTGGTTTCAAATGTCATCTTAAATCTTGGACTACAGGTGTTCTTTTGGAGCTTTCCCAAGATACAAGAGCAAAGTATTTTTTAAATAAACGTTGGAATTTATATAGAAGACAACTGTTTTACTAAAAACCCCACAGCAGCTGCTAAACCTAGAATCTCTCATTCAGTATATAGATGTAAAGGATATGGTTCTGTCCCTTCCCAGCCAGTAGCACCCGCAAACTTTTCATTGATTGATTTAATCAACTCTTTGGCTGAGCCAGGTCCTGAAAAAAGGAGAAAGAAGAAAGAAATTACTGACCAGTCTAACAGAAACAACACTGTTCTAGCTGAATCTTATTGAAAACTAAAAGGAAATAAGGAGACATAAGAGATCCTCTTGATTGGGTGTCATTACTGCATAGAGATTGAAACCACTAAATTAGAAGGCCACTGCAAAACGTAAGGGATATAAAAAAGTCAGTGTTGGCTTATTGTGATATATAAAGCAGCCTTTAAATTCACCACAAATAAGGAAATAATCATACAAGAAAACCAAAATAAATTTTTAAAAATCTTTCTAGCATGGCTAACCAACAAGCTAAAAAAAGAATCCCAGTCATACTGCATTAGATTTTCTAAATATTCAGTGGAGATAAATCTCTAGTGATATTGAATGATTGTGATAAAATTTGTTTCTTCTTAAATCTGCAATTGCAGAGATATTTTGTTTAACAATCATATTTTTCCTGCTTGCAGCCAGTTTTTTAAATCAAGGTTAAGGTAAGAACTTACCTTTGTCTATATCATTAGGCTAAATGGAGAAAAGAAAATGAACACATTAATCTCAAAATAAACAATCAAGATGAAGGCTAGTTACTTAACACAAGATAAGCTATGTTCCATTAATTCAAAAGATGCATATAGTGCAGAATTTTGTCCTGATGTGCCAGGTACTGATAAGAACCCAAACGTTCATGTACTTCTGCAACTAGCATCTGAGAACTACTTGTGAATAAAGTGAAATACTACAAGACCGTTATTTCTATAATTTTACTGACAATTTTGTACAATTTAATTCACTGTTTCCATTTAATTATTGCAACCTCATTAAGATTACAAAAGATTTCAAAATTGTTTTGGAATGGTAATACACAGTTCTGATAAAGAGCCACAAAAAACCACAATAGCTGTGACGGAATATCACCTGCAGGAGCAGTGTGGGAAGAGTTTTGGCAATAGAGAGCTCTCCCAGATAGAGGCCTGGACAATCCCATACTGGATGGAGAAGTGGGGGGAGAAAGAGGCTCAGAGTAACTATACCCTAGAATCTCTTAGGATACATCTCTAATAGGTTAGAAAGTTATAGTTTTAGTTTGGCAAGATCCTGTCCATTAGGTGTAAGAAAGTAAAAAATTAAACTTAATTGAATTTTGGGCCTGACAAAGTCTCAATTTTATGCGATAGATAGATAGATAGATAGATAGATAGATAGATAGATAGATAGATAGATAGATAGATATAGAAAGATAGGCAGGCAGGGAGGCAGGCAGGTAGACGTGCTTACCTCATCATCAGCTTTAGGTTTCTCAAAGTAGCTGTGCCTCTTCTTCTCCTCTTCACGTTCCCTTTCTCTCTCCCGTTCCCGATCTCGTTCATGTTCCCTGTCTCTCTCTCTCTCCCGTTCTCGGTCCCGTTCCCTGTATCTCTCTCGTTCCTTTTCTCGTGGCACTTTTGCCGCCGATGGTACATAATCACCAATATCTTCAAAAATACTTTTCATCAGACAAGCACATATTAAAAAAGCAAAACATAAAATACATACATGTAAGTCTCAGAAAATGGCATAAGAATCTTGCCAGGAGAATCACTGATCATAAATTATTATTTTCTATTAAACATTTTTCTCCCAAGATGGTGATATCTTCTTTTTTAAACAATTCAGCCCCTACAACCTGAAGGGGGAGCCAAATTAATTCACTTGTCTGTTCCTTCCAAACTGAGGACCATGCAAGAATGCAGCAGCTTCCTGAAAACAGTTCCAAATACAATGAGAAGGCTCCAACTCTGAAGGAAAAGCACTTGATGTATCCATATACTTACCTCATGTCTGCCTCGGGAGGTTTCTTCTCATCCAGTTTCCCTACAAATAGAGAGAAATCAGACTATACTTACTTCTATACCCATGATACATTATTTCTTTTAGGAGCTAAAATGTTTTTGCAAATGTCTTGTAGCATTTTATCAATAGTGCATTTTTATATGATACCCAACTTATGTTAATCTTTTCACTCTTTGATCATGCAATCATTCCACAGATTGAAAAAGAAATAATCTCCATCTTAAACACATTTTCCATACTAATGTGAAACATCAAACTATAGGGCAATGTAGAATCTAAGTTTTGTACTCAGTTACTATTCTAACATTAATCAAATATTAACAAATGTTCATTTTTAATGCTGTTCATCATGGAAAGCGAGATATGCAAATCTGAGTTCTAAAAACATATGCTTACCTTTATCCTTTTTCTTGAGTTTTTTATTACGAGTGCCTTGCCTCAGATATGAAAGAATCTGAGTCAGTTTACTAATTACAATATCATTTGTAGTCAATGTGGTCTGGGCCTGGAAGGATAAATCACAGGAATCACTACTTTGATAGCTCATATACAACTGCCTTGCTCATAAAGCATTACCACAGCAATTAGATCAATTACCTCCATGGTTGGACAATCAGCCTTACTTCTAATCAAAGTTGTGGGAATATCTGTGTCAGCATACTCATCATCAAGATCCACCACATAAGCCATTCGTCCTGGCAGGAAGAGCTCATTCCGCTCATACACCTTGTTCCTGAATAGCATCCGATAGATGTTACGGCCTAGCAAAAAAGAGGATTCATGAATATGCCACTATTCACACAATACATTAAGCTAAATAAGCCACAGTATGTTTTTATGATATTGTCAGAACTAGAACCAAGACACTGCAGCCATTGCTCCGATCAGCCATTCTTTAAAGCACATAAACCTAAGCCTAGAAAAAAAATACTTTCACCCTCGGGTTATTGAAGAACTCATAGAAGCAGGATAAACTTGCTCACAGTACATGTTTGTAACATTTTATTTTAGGTAAACATATATATAATTGTTGGACTAAGATTGAGATGATTCAAGTTCACTCTCAAACACAGAAGTTCACTGGGTGACTGGATGGGTCACTCTTTCAGCCAGACCTACATCTCAGGGTTGTTGTTGGACAGGAAAAAAAAATGGAAGGAAGGCATTATATATGTTAACCACAAGCATTTGAAGAAAAAATAGAGTGTAAATCTAATAAATCAATAAAATGTTTGAACAATCTTACCCAAACGAGTCTTGAATTCAATTTTGTTTTCTGGATCTTCATCCTTCATCCTAAAAAGGAAGCAATGAAATACACTTGAGTAACTGGGCTACTATTTTTTCAGCCTAAAAGCTCATAGGTCAGAACTCTCTCATCCCTACTTACTTAGTTTCTTTTTGAGGCTTTTCCATTAGTTCTTCTTCCTCTTTTTCTTTGCTGGCAATCTCTGCCCGTACCTGAACAGAAATAACATTTTCTTTAAAATGGTATGATTTTACAAATATAGACTCCCAATAGATTAGATAAAATAGGAACAGACTGCTGGCTCCCAACAGCTCTTCACCAGTCTGCAGATCTGAATCCACCATTTTCCACCACCACCCAGCTGGTCAGCTAAAACAAACTTTATAACTTACAAGGAAGTTTAAAATATCTCCCTGCATAATAGTCTTGTTTACTATTTACTTACTGTTATTAGCAACCAAGAAAAAAGCAATCTTCCATGCCCTCAGGACTCCTGAGGCAAGGAAGGTTAAGGAGAGGGGGAGAAGTAAGTAGGGGCAAATGGGAAAAAAGGCTATTTAGATGTTTAATGCAGGTATTTCATACATGAAATGTATGTATTCTATGCAAAATATGTAACTGACATAATATACTTTAGTAGCAACCACTGAAAAACAGTGGCCTGAAAGCCCCGAACAAATTCTCAGATTCTTGATTTCAAACAATTTCTGCAATAACATAATTGGGAAGAAGAGGCATTACAATCCAAAATAGGAAAAATTACCAAAAAATACACACACAGATATTTGGAATATTTTTAGGTAGAACAGCAGCAAAAATAATGTCAAGAATTTCTTAAGATGTGAATTGTCTATGCACTGTTGCATTTCTGGCTCACCTTCTGCAACAAAGCAAAATCAAGACCCTTCACCAAGTGAGTGTGTTCCATGTCACCACCCAAGAATTTGGACTCCTGAATCAATTGCCGCCTCTTTTCTGCTGCTGATTTATCCCTAGAACAATAAAAATAAGTGGTTTTAAGGTAAGCACTACATTGTACTCCCAGTCAAAATGGCAGTAACTGTGACTGTACTCACGCCTCTGCAGTGGGTCCCACTGCCCTGTAATTGGCAGTTGTACTGATTAGTTCTGTTTCTTCATAATCTTTGTTGACACCATCACGTCTTTCCTTGGCACGGTCTCTGTATTTCTCAGCCAATTCCCTCTCTCGCTCAATCTCTTGCTGACGTAGTTTTGCATAATAGCTGACATTTTAAAGAAGAAAAAGACCAAAATAAATTAGGAATACCAATACATGGTATTCTAAGAATACTTTTTTAACACTAGTAATGCTGATTGCCACTTTCCTTTGTTTCATCATTAACCTAAACCTACATTATTCATACAGAGAAATAATATATATATTGTCTGATTTATATTAAGTACTAAAAGAGAAGCAAAATTATTAGCTCCATTTATCCAGCAATATGATTCTTCCTCCAGTTCAAAAATGCATTAGCTCTTTTGGAAACTTCAGGAACTAGTCTCTATTACCTTTTTTTCTTTCTCCTGCGAGCAGCTGGATCTTCATCTTCATTGTACTCTCTGGGCATTCTAAAAAGAACAAAAATAAAAATGTTCTTAATATCCTATGATTAAACTGCAATAAAATTTAAACTCTAATTTCAAAGTAATATTAGTAATAATGAAATTTTATTCCTTATTCACTTCAGAGGAAACCATAAATGCCTTCAACAAAAATGCTTTCAAAATAATAACATCATGTAGGCAGTTTATAGAAAGTAATACATCTTACTTTTCAGGATTCCTACATGGATAAAATGTACATGACTTCTCTGAAAAACATTACTATTTTTTGCAAATTCTATTTATTCAAGTAGCCTAGTCTTGATTTTAGCATTTATTTAGTGTATGTGTGTGTGTGTGTGTATTTCAATTATTTTGACATATACATTATGCATGCATTTATTTTGTAGATAACACAAGATTAAGTTAGAACTAGTATAAGATGTCAACTAAAATATAGTTGGCAAATTGGTAAAATAAATACATTTTTGATAAAAAAAATACAAACATTGCATGCTTACTCATGATGGCGAGATTTTGAAGGTGGTGCAGATGTTGGTGTTGCCCGTGGAGTCATAAGAAGCTTACGAAAGTCTTCATTGGTCAATTTAGACCTATCACAAAAACAATTGCTTATAAAAGAGCATAAAAACAGAATACTACTGACTATCATTATTCATTAAATTTGTATGCCACCTGACTCTAAATGACTCTGAAAAAGTTAAAGCATTTGAAATACTGCAAAAATGTGGAACTCATAGTACATAACTTATTAAGAAAAACTAAATGCCCCTATACAATATTCAATTACTATACCCATATACTATATATAGATTTGCCACAATCCCTGCTAGTGAGAAAAAATACTTTGTGATATCCCATGATTTGCCCACTGCAAATTATAGCATAAAAATTGGTAAGAAAAAACAGATATAGAAAAAAATCAAAAAGCATAATACATTATTGCACCATTATTGTTTGCTTGGTCATTTTATTTCATTATTGAAAGTACACTGGATAAAATGCCATTATCTATCATCTATCTATCTATCTATCTATCTATCTATCTATCTATCTATCTATCTATCTATCTATCTATTTTTTACTTATTAAATTTGCTTGCCATCTTGCTGTAAGGCAACTCTAGGCAGCTTACAGCATTGAACACTGTTTTGGCTCTTTGTAATTTCATTAGCTAATATACACAAGTTTTTACTGGCCAATGTAGTCCAATCAGCACTGACAAAGATCCTTCCCCTTACCTTCCACTGCACCTTTGTTTAATGAGAAAGCTTGCTTTTCCTCCAGGTATAAACTGGAGATAGAAGCAGGGATTAATAAAGTGGTACTGCTAAGATTTTGCATTCCACGTAAGTGTGAGAACAATTGGCAATCTTCAAAGTTCTATGTATAGGATACCGAAACCCTATTGTTAAATTTGGAGGAAAATGTGGTTGGTTTCCTAAACAACGTATATGAAACAAAATTGGTCTGTAATACTGAAAAATATATCTTAAAATACAATTAAAAGCTCTACTCACTGATGAAAAGAATGAGAATCATCCACATCATGCCCATCTGGGGCTAAAGGGTTGGAGAACGGCTCACCTAAAATGAGAATTATAAGTCAACATAACATATCTGAAAGAGAAGTATGCATTTCAGTCAAACAATTTATTGTGACATTTTTCATACATAAGTAAAATATCTGAAGAGAAATAATACCAAGAAATACCTCATATTCAACTGATTTTCAGCCAGTTCCCATGTGTAACAGTGTGGAAAAATTAAGAGATTCAAGAAATTGCTCAGAACAATATTAGCTTTCTTACAGACTACAAACCATTCTGTGAAACCCAGCAGAAAGGTACAGCGATAACAGAAACTACATTTTTTCCTTCTTAATTATTCCAAATTTAAACCTTCTCAAATATAAAGATCTCTTCTAAATTGAATTTTTCTTCATAACACATGGTCTTTTTATTTTGTGCATAAAATGTGTTATCTGTAGGAATATTAACATTTGTGTCTTAGAATTTCTACCAATTTTTTTTCAAAATTTTCCCTAAGAAATTGCAACCAAAGATATACCATTATTTTCTATGCAAGGAAAATCAAAGGAATAGCACAAAGAAATATGATCGTATATAGTTATTTGGAATTGCTTCAGGATTCCTTGAAGACAGAAGAAACAGGGTGGCCATGTTTAGAAAAATCAAGAGGTAAAGTAAAATATAAAAGTGTGAAAAAAAATTCCCAGTACACACAAAACTTTTGGTTTTCACCAGTCCATAAAAATGTAAAATAGTAAGAATTAGAAACTGATCATATTCAATTTTGAAATTGTAATTGAACAGCTGCTACATGTAAGTAACTCCTGCTTTTCGCTTCATTTTTACTTCAGGTTTCCCCACTGAAAATTAGCCTGTTTTATATCCAACTAGCTGATAACCCGGCATTGCCCGGGTATTTATTTATCCCAATCCTGTAAGAGAGGAAAATCCTATAGTCGGGACTCATGCTGTTGTACTGTCGCACAGCGCCACAATTCTTCTATTCCTCCACAAGAGGGAGCACTGTGAAGCTGTTACCATGGTAGAAACCATTTTAAAGCACACCCCCGCCAGGGGTATTAGGGGTGTCTTACTCCCCACAGTATTTGTTTCCAGAGGGTAAGTCATCCGTTAACCAAGTTTGACCAAGTATGTGTATATGTGTGTGTGTGTTTTAAAGTTGTAGCAACATTTCGGCAGAATCTCATCTGCCATCATCAGGCTGATGAGATTCTGCCGAAACATTGCTACAACTTTAAAAGCACAACTACAATGACGTGGGAAAATACCCGAACAAAGCTGAATGCCATACATACATACATACATACATATATATAATATAGGAAGAAAGAAAAGGAAGAAGAGAAGAGGAGGAGGAACAGGAGGAGGTGGTGGAGGAGGAGAAGGAGGAGGAGAAGAAGAAGAAGATATAGTACTGTACAGAGGAAAGTATAGAATTCTTTATTGGCCAAGTGTGATTGGACACACAAGGAATTTGTCTTAGTGCAAATGCTCTCAGTATACATACAAGAAAAGATACATTTGTCAAGAGTCCAGAATCATAAGGTACAACACTTAATAATAGTCAGGGGTACAATAAGCAATCAAATCATACTAGGAAACAGTCAATATAAATAGTAAGGATACAAGGGACAAAGTTACAGTTATACAGTCACAAGTGGGAGGGGATGGGTGATAAGGAGTAATGAGAAGATTAATAGTAATAGTAGTGCAGACCTTGTAATAGTTGAACAGTGTTGAGGGAATTATTTGTTTAGCAGAGTTCAGGAAAAAAATGTCCTTGTGTCTAGTTCTGATGTGCAGTGGTCTATAGCAGAGGTCTCCAACCTTGGCAACTTTAATAAGACTAGTGGACTTCAACTCCCAGAATTCTCCAGCCAGCATAGCTGGCTGGAGAATTCTGGGAATTGAAGTCCACAAGTCTTAAAGTTGCCAAGGTTGGAGACCTCTGCTCTATAGCGTCGTTTTGAGGGAAAGAGTTGAAACCGTTTATGTCCGGGATGTGAGGAGTCTGTAAATATTTTCACAGCCCTCTTTTTGACTCGTGCAGTATACAGGTCCTCGATTGAAGGCAGGTTGGTAGTAACTTTTAGGAAAAGGTGTGGCACGTTTTGCAAGAATTTAGCAAACAAATCACAAATAACAACCCATCGTCGGAATACTGTATTCTTTGCCCATCTGACTCTTTCAAGCTCCCCCCTCCAAAGCTGTAATTAGAATCAACGAGCCCCCCTGCTCCTTGGCCGTCCGTACTTTTCAGAGAGAGGGTCTCTCGTTCATTAGGGATTGCTTTGTTGTACCCCCTCCCAGCCCCCTTTGTATGGATGATCCAGCCCATCGGCCACTCAAGAATAAAACAGGGAAGGGACGGCAAGCTGCCTTAGATCCCTCTGCATATATTCGCTGGCCCTTTATTTGAAAAGTGAGGCCAGCAACAAAAAGTCCGAGGGCATTTCGCCGAGTCCTCCCCACTCCCCCTTCACACACACCCTCACGCAGGCTTTAAGATGACACTCACTGTCCCGCTCCGGCATTGTCGCTTCTCTTGAGATATAAACGGCTCCGACTGAGGTGACAAACAAGCGTTGCCCCAAGCTCGGCCTCTTTCCCACAAGGCACCGCGCGGGGACGGCACCTTAACCCGAAGTGCACTACGCCGAAGCTCCCAGGGACCTTAGACGTATGTTGTAGTTCATTTATAGACTCGTCGAAATAGGCTATTTCCGGGTTCAGTTTCAGTTAGCCTTTCTTTCAATGATCTCTCATTAAAAATAACAGGCAAATCTAGAACCACAGCAGGTCTATTCAGCAGATTGCAGCAAAAACACCCATTTTCATTCAGTGCATATCAAGTCTTATATTAACACTGAAAAACAGTTACTTTTTGCAGATTGAGGGAACTTTAAATGAACTTTGCTATTTTGGTTGATTTCAATGGCTTTCTGAGTTCTCTGCATAAATGTTTAAAAGCTTAAATGCATCACTTTTTAAAACAACATATAACATTTATAGAGGACTATGCAATATAGACTGCAAAGATACAATCTAGTGATCTTTTGGATTTTGGGTGATCTGAGCCTATCAAGCTCTGTTTGGTTGCTTACAAAAATGTTGATCTGTTTGCTACTGCCTTTGTTTCTACATAGATCAGCCATTCCACCACTGCTCTTCTAATTTTTTGCTGATTTCTGCACTTAGTAAACAATCTTAGATCCCAGTACTGTAGAAAGTGCAGAGAAGAGCAACAAAGGAGTCCGGAGGCAAAACAGAAGGAGGAAGGATTGAGGTATATTTAGTCTAAGAGAAGCAGGAGAGGCTGTCTTCAAGTATTTGAGGAGCTGTCACAGACAAGAGGGATTCAACTTATTCTGCAAAGCGCCTGAAAGCAGGATAGGAAGCAATAGGTGGAAGCTAGTAAGAGAGAGATCCAAACTGGAACTGAGGAAAAAAATCCTGACAGTGAGACCAATTAATCAGTGGATGGCTTGCTTCCTGAGGTTGTGGGTGCTCCAGTCTTCAGCAAAAGATTGGGCAGCCATTTGTTCAGTTTCAATAAGGTTTCCTGCCTTGGGCAGGGATTTCGACTAAATGAAAGAACAATCAATCAGAATAGAGCCAAGATCTGGAAGGGACCTTGGAGGTCTCCTACCTAGTCCATTTCATTTCAGACAGGCAGCTGTCCAGTCTTTTCTTACAAACCTCCAGGGATGAAGACCTCCAAGGTCCCTATGATTCGAGTTTTCAGTCCAGAACTTGGGCAGCCGGATACAGCTTTAAATCAATTTTTAAAAAATGAGTTTTGTATCTCTTCAAGCTGTTATAGGTTTGTAAGTGGCAGCAGGTGAAAGATGTTGAGACCTTGGAAAAAGTTCAGAGAAGAGCGACTAACATGATCAAAGGCCTGGAGACTAAGCCATATGAAGAACAGCTGCAGATTTTGGGTTTGGCTAGTTTAAAGAAAAGAGGAATTAGGGGTGACATGACAGCAGTATTCCAGTATTTGAGGGGCTGCCACAAAGAAGAGGGGGTCAACCTCTTCTCCAAAGCACCAGAGGGCAGGACAAGAAACAATGGTAGGAAACTAACCAAAGAGAGAAGCAACCTGGAATTAAGGAGAAACTTCCTCACAGTGAGGACAATTAACCAGTGGAAGAGCTTGCCTTCAGACATCCTGTGGGCTCCATCACTGGAGGCTTTTAAGAAGAGACTAGAATAGTCACTTATCTGAAATAGTATAGGTTCTCCTGCTTGAGGGGGGGGGGAGGGGCTGGACTAGAAGACCTCCAAGGTCCCTTCCAGCTCTATTCTAGTCTATGTGTTCACTCCCCATAACACCTCGCGCGCTTCTTATCCTGTGCGCGTCATTAAGCGTCGGTCTTCTGCTAAGTACCGGATTGGCTACAGCAACGGTCACTGCCCACGGGACCTTTAGGGCTGGCAGTCATCATGGCGGCCGCCTCAGTTGTCCGAGCCGTCGGGGGCAGCCTTGCCCAGAATCTCAAGGAAATTCGGATCCACCTTTGCCAGCACTCGGCGGCTAGTCAGGGAGTCCGGTAGGTGAAAGGCGAGCAGGGATCTTATCCGACCCCTTTGTGGAGAGACGTGGAAATTGTCCCGCTTATTCCTTGGCTGCTTGGCTTCGCGCATCACATGGGCTAAAATGTGGATACCGAGCCCAGCTTGCCCAGCTTGGCGTTGGGTGCATTGTGGGCATTCCGTATGTTTGGCTGCACGAAGGAGCCGTCCCAGTGTAAATGACTGGAAACACTGGAGATACCTGGAAACAAAAGTTCCTTTCAGAAAGGGGCTCCTGGCGGTTCAGAAAAACAGGCTGGTCCTGGCTGTTTCCTTTGGAGTTGCTGGCAGGGAGAAAATCGCGAGGTGCCACCTGGGCTGCTATTAAGCCTTGTAGGAGGTAGCCCGGGATGGGGGGTTAATCCTAATCCTTCGGTTTCAAGGCAGATTTTTTAAAAAAATCATTTCCTTACAGACAATACAGAAAACAGAAGACCTTTTAAGGCTGGATTTAAGGGTGAATCATGTTAAGAACAGTCAGACTTCTTTTTTACCGGGGTGTGTATGTTTCCTAAACATATTTCTAAGTCTGAAGAATTTCAGAGTGATCTAATGTTCCACCTGTTACTGAAAAGTCATGAGTTCTGTTTCAGCTATTCTAATATCTGTTTGCATGATATAATGAGTTAAAATATATGAGCTGGAGTCACACACTTTGCTTAGACAAAAATATGATTTGGCTTGTGTATGAGTGTGTGTAGTATTCAGGTACAAAGCAAATTGACTTTGGATCAGTTACTGTGCTCTTTCTCAGTCCAACCTACCTCAGGATTTCTATTGTGGGGAAAGATAGAAGGGTGTGTGCCTCATCTTGAGTTCTGGTACAGAAGGTGCGCTATAAATGTAATAAATGTATGTAAATTCTGAAATATTACTTTGAAGTAAAGTAGCATATTCCGTGGTTAATATTTATTTGATAAATTTATGTATTATCTATCTCACTGTTGAGAGATTTGGGCAGCTTACAATATCATAAAAACAGCAATATAAAACATTAAAGTGTTAAAATATTGAACATAAAAACTGAATCAAAACAGAGTAAGATAGGAATCGATACACATTTTTTATAGTTTTGGTAATTGAATGGAATAAAATCCTTGAACTGATTGTATTCTATTGTTGAATTCTTTGCAGAGATTTCATTGAACAGCACTATGTCACATTGAAGAAGGCAAATCCAAACTTCCCCATCTTGATCAGAGAATGCTCCAATGTTCATCCCATGCTTTGGGCTAGATATGGTGAGTTAGGAAGGGCTTTTCTGTAAAATATTATTTTACAAGTACAATAGAAATAATTTGTTCAATTGTTTGTTCCATAGGGTTTGTTGTTCATCTTTAAAACATTTTATTTGTAATATATTGTTGTTAAAAAGAAAAATTGGAAGGTTTTCTGCAGATATGCAGTTGTTTGTAAGCCAAGGCCATCTTCACATATAGCTGATATTAACAGAATATATACACATGTTGGCTTAATCTATTAAAAGAAATATACAGTATTACAAATAGATTAGAGATTCAATAAAGACTTTTGTGTTAATTCTATTACATAATACTGTTGATAAACTAAGTTGAATTCTACATTCTTACAACAGAGAGGGAAAGAAGTTGGCAGGTGCCAATATTATATAGAATGGGTCTGCAACGGGTTCTTTGAGTTAAATACTTAAAGAGCCATTGGACCTGTTTCCCACAGAAAAGAAAACACCGGGAGCCACAAAACCTGGGTGAGTGTGGCCAACTCAATGTCACTCACTCCCACTCAGTCAAGTGATCCCCAGCCATGCCTACCCAGCTGGTCATTCGGGCAAAGAACTGGTTATTAAAAAAAAAAAACACTGGGATCCCCCCTCTCTGTCTCCTCTCTCCCCCTTTCTCTCTCTCTCTCTCTCTCTCCCCCGCCCCGATTCTGATATGAAGCATCGGGCAGACCAGGAGGCACTCTTGCAGTGCCTTGCGCAGCAGTGAATTTTAGCGTGCTTCATAATGGAAAAGATGGGGTCCTCTCCTCCTGGAGCCCATTACGACGCAGAGCCATAATGCGACCCTGCCCCATTCGCCCCTAGCTTACAGTTCAGAGCCCAAAGCAGCAGGAGGCAAGGGCTGTCTTCACTACAAATGTGGCATGAAGGCAAATACAGAGCCGCTTCTCTCCTGCACTAAGGCTACGGCTATCGCCTTGCCATGTGTCACCCCTCCTCCCCGCAGCTTTTCAGATGAGCGCGGAGAGCGTGAGCTCTAGTCCGAAGCGGCAGGAGGCAAGGGCTTCCTTCAGTGCAAATGTGGCGCAAAGGCAAGTACGGGGCATTTCTTTCCTGCACTAAGGCTCCAGCCATCGCCTTACCGTGTCCGTCACCCCCCCTGCAGCTCTTCGGCCGAGTGCGAAGGGCACGAGCTCCAGCCCAAAGCGGCAGGAAGCGAGGGCTGTCTTGAGCGCAAATGTGGAGCAAAGGCAAGGACAGGGCCGGTTCTCTCCTGCACTAAGGCTCCAGCGACCCTCCTCTTCTCATGAACCCCTGGCTGACTTTGGCAGGGCTAGGAGGGTGCGCACGAGTGGGAGATCCTCAAGCGAGAGACCTGGCTTGGCCAAAGCGCAGCAAAGGTGTAGTGGGTGGGTGGGTTGAACAGCTGACAAGCGTCTTTGGCTAGGGTGCTCTGCCTTTCTCTGACCCTGACCCCCGGGGTGGGTGGGCGAGGTTCAGTGCGGCCAGCCCCCTTTACCCGCTACCCTGAGCTTCTTAAAGCCACGGCTGGGCGTTGTGGCCCTTTCCATTGTCCCATCCTCCCAGATCCCATTCCCACTCTGCCAGCCGTCGTGTTAGCAAGGCAGGCATCAGTCATGGCCAGTGTCTCAGGGAAGAGAGTAGGTTGCACATCTCCCCAAGCGACTGAGGCATGCCCAGCACCAACAAGGGCCAGAAGGAGCTCCAGCAAGAGTGAGGAGAATCAGCCCCGGCCACTTCTCCATCCCCCGCCATTGCGCTTACCTTCTCAGGCCAGGTGAGGAATGACTGGGAGGGGAGGAGGAGGGGAGGGGCCAGCCAGTAATGGGACAATTAGCGGCAGCAGAGGGCCCAAAGAGCCGCATGTGGCTTTGGAGCCGCGGGTTGCCGGCACCTGGTATAGAATAACTGGCAGAAAGGATTCTACTGTGTTTCTCACAAAATAAGGCCGGGCCTTATTTATTTTTTTGACCCCCCAAAAAACAGCTAGGACGTCTTTTCGGGGTGACTTAATTCCCCCCCCTTGCATCCTCGGGCAGGCAGGCGGTGACAGCTTGGATGTTGACCTCGGCATTGGTGGGACACTTCGTATCGGGAGACCTTCCGCCACCGTTGCTTTCCCTTCTCCCCGTGCTGCCAAAGCGTTAAGAGCAACACCGCAGCATTTGACGCAGCCACGCGCGGCCAGCCAGGGCTCCTCCCTGCAACTGGAGCCCAGTGGAGACACTCGGCTTCAGGCGCTCCTGTCGCTGCCTTCCCTTCGCCTTCGAAGGCAAAGCCAATTCTTTTAAAAACGATGCCCTACTACTGGTACGACAAAGCCTTCCCTGCCCAAGAGGGCAGCCCAACCCCACGTGGGGAGGCAAATCTCCTGGGACCGCTTCCTTCCCAAGTCCCTCCAGTCCGAACCTGAAGGGGCCACCGGGAGAGGCTGCCTCAGGCAGTGATAGCGCCTACCCATCCGTGGACAGGGATGGCGGCTGGGCGCTTCTCTCGGGGTGGGCCGATCCTGTGCTGCGGCCCCCGGAGATTCGCCTCCCCACATGGGGTTGGGCTGCCCTCTTGGGCAGGGGAGGCTTTGTCGTACCGGTAGTAGGACATCGTTTTTAAAAGAATTGGCTTTGCCTTCGAAGGCGAAGGGAAGGCAGCGACAGGAGCACCTGAAGCCGAGTGTCTCCGCCGGGCTTCGGTTGCAGGGAGGAGCCCTGGCTGGCTGTGCGTGGTTGTGTCAAACGCTACGTGGCTGCGCCAAATGCCACGGCTTGCTCTAAACGCCACAGCAGCATGAGGAGAAGGGAAAGCAACAGTGGCGGAAGGTCTCCCGATATGAAGTGCCCCACCAACGCCGAAGTCAACGCAGGCAGCACCATATCCGGGTATGCAACAAAAGTACTTCCTAACGGCAAGCTCCCCCGCCATTCCCCCCCATTTCGCATGTTTAATATAGGCCTTAATTTGCGGGGAGGGGCTTAATTTGATTTTATGCCTATAAAACATGCTGGGACTTCCTATTGGGGGAGGCCGTATTGTTGGAGAAACACGGTATGTTACAATCATAGACAAAAACAGATGCTACTATTAGTTTCTTTTACAGAATTTTTACTTATCTTCTAATATATTAATTAATGCTAAGAGTGTCTATAATATATTAAATTTACATTTTCATAGAAAAACTTCTATCACTCATAATTTATGTTGATTTTGTAATATCAATTGTCTAACTAAATGGAACTCCCAGTGGCCAAATGCTTGAAATGTATGCTTACTGCCAGTACATCATGTTTTTATTGCCTTCCATAAATATGTAAAAAAAGGATTTTAATCCTGTAATGGGAAAAAGAATTGCTACCAGTATTATTGGGGGTGGGGCAAACTTTCTTAACTTTGGAACAAATTGTGATGATATTGAATCTTGATTTCTAAAAATCTGATCACCAAAATGTAATACAAGGCAGTGAAAATAATAACTAAAGCTCTATATGGAGTAATGGATAAAGTTGCTGACTCTGAACAAAAGTGCTGTAGTATTGTTATAGTAAAACTTTATGTCTTTGTGGAGCAAGTACATTTGCCTACATCCCTATTAATAGATCTTTTTAAAATTGTACAGTCTGGTTGAATTATAAAGTAGGATAGATTTCAGAACCAGATGGGAATAGGAGAGATTCACTGCTTGCAATTAGTATTGCACTCTGAAAAAGGCTTTCTGTAACTCATAAATGGTATACTCTACTCCTAATCTTTTATTATTTTGATCTCTTACTCGCTCAAATTCCTGATTTAGAGAAAATTGAACAACCGATAAAGCAAAATGACTAGGGACATGTGATTTTCAGCTCTGGCTGTGTTGATATAACATGCTTAACAAGTGAGCTAAAAATCCTCGACATTGCACTCATGCCACATATACTGTGTGCATCTTGGGTTTTGATGGCTAGCATGATATACCATTTTATGTTGGTTGATATTCTGGGCATTGTATGCACCAAGAAGATAGGCAATAGGTATAAATAAATGCAACCTATGAAAATGAGTTGTGTACAGACTACAAGTACTCCTTGAGATAGACAGCTCACTTAACATCCATTTGAAGTTATAACCCCCAAAAGCTATTTCAAACCTACAGAGCTGCAGCACCCTGATGGTCGTTCATCCTTACAACTGATCACAAGGATGCTGCAACACCCCCCACCACCACCACCTCTTTCCTCCATCCTGTCCTGCTGGGACCTTACAGTGCTTGGGCCTACTCCTGATGCCTCCTGGAAGAAGCAGAAGCTATCAATTTCAGTACTCTTAACAATTCCTTGTGAAAATGGTGACTCCTTTGGAAGTTTTCTGCCTCTGTCAGCTGGCTGTCAGGATATTGCAAACCTCTCCTGGCTGTTGCTAGGCTTTGGAGAAATCAGTCACCTGCCTGCAAAGACAGCAGCTTTAGAGGAGCTTCTCAAAATATTTCGCTTGCTTAAACCCTCTGTCACCCAGAAACCCATATTACGTCAAAAAAAAAAAGCTGTGGAATTTGTTGATGCCCCCCCCCCCTCATTTGCTAAATTCACTGCATGCCTGGAAAAGGGGTGATAAAATCTGTAAATTATTTATATTGATGAGTGACTGAACAGTAGAGGAAAGGAAGCAAAATCTTTATACAGCTTGCATTGAGGAGATAAAGAAAAAAATCCAGATCAAAATATTCAGCCAGCTAGAGCACAACATGTAAAGTAAATGGGCAGAGCAGAAACTGAGTTCTTGGAAAGTTAATTGCTGTTTATCTGACTGCCTTTAGAGCAAAAGTTAATTTTAATTCATTTAATTTAGACTAAATTATTGGATAAGGCAAATACTGTGGACATAGTTTACTTAGACTTCAGTAAGCGTTTGACATGGGAGGTAGACAGCATCAACACCAGATGGATTCACAACTGGCTGACCAACCACACTTAATGTGTTGTCCTCAATGGAACTATATCTAAATGGAAGGAAGTATGCAGTGTGGTACCTCTAGGTTCTGTCTTAGACCCAGTATTCTTCTACATTTTCATAAATGATCTAAAAAAGGGGGCGGAAGGGGAACTCATCAAATTTGCAGGTAATACTATGCTTGAGGGGAGGGGGAGCCAACACCTTGGGAGATAGGCTCAAGATCCAGAAGGAGCACTTGGGCACTAGGCCCTATCCAACAAAATGCAATTCAGTGATGAAAAAAGTAAGGTTTTACACATAGGCAAGATAAAGCAAATGCACAGGTATAAAATAGGTGGTACCTGGCTCAACAGCAGAAACTGAGAGGGATCTAGGCATCCCAGTGGACAACCAGTTAAGTGTGAGCCAGCAGTATGCTTCAGTTGCCAAAAAAGCCAAAGCAGGCTGTATCAACAGAGGGATGGTATCAAAATAATGCAAAGTGATAGTACCAGAGGTGGTATTCAGCAGGTTCTGACCAGTTCTGGAGAACCAGTAGCGGAAATTTTGAGTAGTTCAGAGAACCAGCAAATACCACCTCTGACTGCCCTGCCCCCATCTATTCTCTGCCTCCCGAGTCCCAGCTGATTGGCTGGGTCTTTTGTTGCCCTGCACAGGAGAACAGAACTGGAAAGCAGGTCAGTGGGGTGGGGAGGGAATGGGATTTTGCAGTAACCTTCCCCCTGAAGTTGGGAGGGAATGGGGATTTTACAGTACCCTTCCCCTGCCATACCCACCACACCCACAAGCCATGCCCACAAGCCACGCCCACAGAACCAGTAGTAAAAAATTTTGAATCCCACCACTGGATAGTAACGCTTTATATTGTTTTAATAAGACACACTTGGAATATTATGTCCCATTTTGGTCACTCCAATACAAGAAAGATATTGAGACACTAGAAAAATGCCGAGGATGAAAAGGATTAGTGATCACATGATAGCAGTTTTCCAATATTTAAGGGACTGTCACAGAGAAGAGGGGGCTGATCTATTCTCTAAAGCACCTGAAGAAGGCAGGACAAGTAACGGATGGAAGATTATTAGAGAGCCAACCTAGAATTAAGGATAAAAGAGAACAATCAGTGGAACAACTTGCCTCCAGAGATTGTGGGTACTCCATCATTGGAGGTTTTCGAGAAGAGATTGGACAACTATTTGTCTGGAATAGTATAGAGTCCCTTCCAACTCTGTTATTCTATGATTCTATACTTGTGACAGTAATAGGCAGGGTCCACCATGGATGTAGATCAAAGACTATCTGTATTACAGAAACTGCTGCTGGCACATCACAAAGAAAAGATATCTCCATCAATGTATCCTTTAGGAGCAGCCTTTTCCTTGCAGTGTCAGCTGAAAACATTTTAGAAAAATAGTACTGTGCATATACTGTATATTTTATCCCCATAGGCTTTTCTCTGAATTGGATTAGCAAATATTTACATAAGTAATTCACTTGTAAAAGACTTACAGATTAAGAACACAATTGTGTTTTGAAACTTTAGAATTATCTTTGAATGAAGTCTGTAAGATTTTTTTTAATCAAATTTGTTTTTTTACAGCCTATGGCCTAGAAAAGAGTGTGTCACTGAATAACCTAAATGTTGACCAAGTTGCCAAAGCCTTGGACAATGCTGTTAATAGAAAAATATGAAGATAATCCTGTATTCTTCAATTCTAAAACAATATATATATATATATTTGTTTGTAATTTCCATGTACTTGTGATCTACAAATAAAGTCATATACAATGTGTCCTGTTTTGGTCAACATATATACCAGGGCAATCTAAGCAGTGTAGTGAAAACATGCAGGGCAAGGCTTCTAGAATTCTTTCCCACTCAATTAGCAGCAGCCATAAGAAGTTGTGTTCATTCTGAGCTTTTTTTTACACTTCCCTTCATGTTATATCAATGTGTGTGCGTGCGTGCACTGGGAAACACATGGAGAATAACATTCACTCCAGTTTGGATCACATCATGGAAAAAAAGGTGTTTAGAATGTGTTCAGCAACTTTTGAATTTATTTATTAAATTGCCAAAATGATTAATTGGTGGAATTTTTTTCCTCGGAAATTTTTTTTCCACATTCACCAGACATATCTAGTGTATTTTAAACTTGGTCCATTTTTGCTGGCTTCTATCACCCAACCAAATAAATATTAGAAGCATATATAATAACCATTTCAATGAAGAAAAATATGTTACATTTGCAAATTGGAACACAGGACTTTGGTAAAGTATTAATGACATATTTGAAAATTACATTAATTATGCTTAAAGTTTAAATCAAAATAGAAATCTTAAATTCATACAAACTACTATAAATACTGTCTGTACGATCTAATCAACCTGTAACTATTTTTAGATAAATCCCATCAAATTCAACAAAATCCACTACTGAGTATTTATCTTATTTAAAACATTTTTATCAATCATGCTAATAGTTACAGAATTCCTGAAATACCTTAATGCATATACTTTTTGAAAAATGCTTTGTTATTTTTCAGTTGAAGGGAAAAGAAATAGAGGGTGCATATGAGCACAAATGCTCAGAAAGGAAAGGTGCTGGTGGATATGGATGTTTATGAGAGAGAAAACACAAGCATAGGGATGCATTCTGTAAGTTAACTCATTTGAGGTAAATTGATTCAAAAATGGTTGCTCTATGATCAACTGAAGGTTATAAACAATCATACAGACATGAGAGATTTAGTAGCACATTGCTATTCAAAGGGTTTTGTTTAAAATTTGTTGGCAACAAATTAATATAGTTCATTTACATATGTCATTGCTTCACATTTGTAAGGAAATAAAATGAAGATTTTCAGTTCCAAGGGGTTTATTTTGAGGAACAGCAGTTATCTGGCTAACTGTTTGAATTAGCACTTTGACTTGCTCTTGCAAATGTAGGTTATTTTGATGCTGCTGTAAGGCATGTAGTCCGGAATGATTTACAAAGTCAATGGCAGCCTGGCAGAGTGAAAGAACATACAAATTAGTATTGAAACTGTTAGTACATCTTGGACTTTTAGAATATATAATAATACTGTAATACACAATGCATAAAAGTCTACCTTTGGCCAATGAGAGAAGATGAGATGCAATAGTTCTAAATCTTGGCCTACTACTTGGACATCAGAAATAACAAGGATATTTACAAGAGAAGGAAGCACAGCTTTTTGGTGCAGCATTTCACAGTAGGCAGCACCCTTGGCAGCTATATTGCATAACACTGTTAGAACCTAAAGGGGAAGATGGAGCAAGAAACTAAGATGAGTAACTTCAGTTACCAATATTGATTTATATTGATATTAAAAACTCCTCAAATATCTTACATTGTTTTTGTTTACAAAGATTTCTTGCCTTTCCACTAAGATTCAGGACTAAGTATCAATGTATCTGGATCCTCATACATGAAAGCCAACAACACTACTGATTAGCCACAATGTTTAAAAATGAATTAAGCCAACTGCATTCATATGTACTTATCACCTTAATAATTTACCTCAATTTGATTTACATATATATTTATGGCTCTCACCTGCACTGTTTATTCAAAAGGGGTTTTTATTATTTGTGTTTTGACCACAATAAAATGTAATTCTAAGGTAAGGGGTACCAGTGAACAGTTTGTTTTCTATACAGTTGAAAATAATTTCGTTCTATATGATAAACATGTATATTCATGATAAGGGATTTTATTGAATCTTCCACATTGTGTCTAATTCAAATTTCACACAGGACAATTCCCTAAGATACTTGTGGCTTTTAAATATATTAACTATATTTCAATTTGAAAATTAATTTGTATGTAATTATATTTGTAGCAGCTCATCCATCCTTGTTACTGAGAGTAACAATATATACTCCCATACTGTCAGAAATTCTTTGTGCAACTATTTTCTAAATTTGATCAGATACACCAAAACAAGAGATGGGAAACCTAACAATTCCTAATGTAATGCTTAAGTAATAATACCCAAGTGGAGTCTAAATGAAGCTTAATAAATTCTAACTGTCACAATTTTGGGAAACTCAATTTCCATGAACTAATTTTCAACCAATTTTTATTTATTTTATTTAGGGAATTTATATTACCGCCTATTCGCACATGGTGACTCAAGACGGCTTACAGAATATACCCCATATAAAAACAATAAAACTAATAAAAGAAGTCATATAATGAATTAATATACAAAAATCACACACATACCCCACCCCAGCGACAGCACCTCACATGAGCCATTTAACGGGCTTCATCCTGCTCTGGGTTCCCCAGGCCCGCTGGCAGAATCAGGTCCTTAGCGCCTTCTGGAAGAGTGCTGGGGGGGGGGCATTCTAATCTCTGTGGAGATGATATTCCAGAGAGAGGGAGCCACCACGGAGAAGGCTCTTCTGGGTCCCACCAGGTGTATCTCCCTAGGGCAGGTGTTGGCAACCTGCGGCTCCAGAGCCACATGAAGCTTTTTGGCCCCTCTGCTGCAGCTCCCTGTCCCATTACTGGCTGGCCCTGCCCCTTGCCCTCCCTTGCCTGGCCTGAGAAGGTAAGGGTGACAGTGGGGAAGAGGAAAAACGGCTAGGGCTGATTCTCTGGTGCCTCATTCTTGCTGGAGCTTCTTCCGGCCCTTGTTGGTGCTCGGCGTGCCTTGGTCGCTTGGGGGGGATGCGCAACCTGCTCTGCGTCCCGAGACACTGGCCCGACCCAGCTGCAACCAATGCCGGCCTCGCTAACACAAGAGCTGGAAGAGTGGGAATGGGATCCAGGAGGATGGGACAGTGGAAAGGGGAAGGGGTCCGCAGTGCCCAGCCATCACTTTAAGAAGCTCAGGGCAGCAGGAAAAGGGAACTGGCCCTGCCGAACCTTGCACACCCACCCCGGGGGTCAGGCTTGGAGAAAGCTGGAATGCCCTCGCCAAAGATGCTCTCCTGTCAGCTGGTTTCCCCCCTCTCTCTATGTCTCTCTGTGTATATCTCGTGTTCTCAGTCTCTGCATCTCTTCTCTCTCTCGAAACGCTGAGGCTGGGCCAAGCCAGCAAGCTCTCTTTGGGGCTCTTGGCTATTCCTTTTATTTTTTATTTTTGGAAATCCGGGCTAGCTGAGGAATGATTGCCAGCCACAGCAGAGCCTTCCCTTCGGGCAACTCTCCTCTTTCTCCCCCTCCTTCTCTCACGACCCCCTGGCCAGCTGTGGTAGGGCTGGGAGGGTGCAGAGGCGGGGAGACCCTCCTTAAGCGAGCGCCAAAACGCAGCAAAGACGCGCACAAGGCAGGCAGCCGCTCGCTTAAGGATGGTTTTAACAGGACGTGGCTTCTCTCCTGCACTAAGGCTCTGGACATCGCCTTGCCATTTCGTCATCGTCCCCCACCCTAGGAGCTCTTCAGCTCCAGTCCGAAGCGGCAGGAAGTGAAGGCTGCCTTATGCGCAAATGTGGCGCAAAAGCAGGTGCAGGGCCGCTTCACTCCTGCACTAAGGCTCTGGCGACCCTCCTCCCCTCCTTCTCTACTCGCAACCCCCTGGCTGGCTATGGCATGGTGGGAGGGTGCACACCCTCTAGCAAAAAGCTGAGCATGGCCAAAGCACAGCAAAGGCGTGCGCGGGGTGGGCAGCTGCTTGCTTAAGGAGGATCTCCCCACTCGGGCACACCCTCCCAGCCCTGCCACAGCTGGCCAGGGGGTTGCAAGAGGAGGAGGAGGAGGGTCGCCCGAAGAGTAACCTCTGCCATGGCTGACGATTGTTCCTCAGCCAGCCTGCATTTCCAAAAATAAGAAATGAAAGTAATAGCCAAGAGCCCCAAAGAGAGCTTGCTGGCTTGGCCTGGCCACGGCTTTCCGAGAAAGAAAGAGAAAGAAAGAGAGAGAGAGAGAGACGAAGGGGAGAGAGAGGGGAAGATAAGGAGAGGGGGAGAGAGACATACAGAGAGAGATACAGAGGGAGAGAAAGAGAGACACAGAAAGAGGAGGGAGGAGAGGGGGAAAGATGGGGAGAGAGAGAGGAGGGAAGAGAGAGATACAGAGGGGGGAGAGACATAGAGGGAGCAAGAGAAGGGTTTTGTGGCTAAGTAGGTGTGGCTGGGGGGGTGTCACGTGACTGGGTGGGAGTGAGTGACACCAAGTTGGCCATGCCCACCTAGGTTTTGTGGCTGATTTTTTTTTCTGTGGTAAACTGATCCAAATGGTTCTTTGAGTGTTTAAATCCCCTTAGGGGATGGGATCTGCAGCATTCCTTGCCTCCCCGCTCTGATGGGTCAGTTAGATGTAACCAGCAAGACAAGGTCCCTCAGACAACTGGTCCCAAGCCACGAAGGGCTTTAAAGGTGACAACCAGCAGTTTGAATTGCGCCCGGAAGCAAATCGGCAGCCATTGCAGTTCCCGCACTAGAGATGCTACATATGTACACTGGGTTCTGTACAAAATCATACAGGCTGCTGCATTTTGCACCAACTGGAGCTTCCGGATGCTCTTCAAGGGCAGCTTCATGTAGAGTGTGTTGCAATAGTCAAGTCGGGAAGTGATTAGGGCATGAGTGACTGTGAGTAGGGATTGTTGGTCCGGGAAAGGGTGTAACTGGCACACTCTTGCCAACCTTCCCCAATACACTTACAGATGCCCTCACTCCTTTTGCACTGTCCCTGTATATTGTGTAATGATCAGTTGTCTGAAGCATTTATTTTGCTGTGATTAATGTCAGGGCAAACAGTTTCATGTGTGTCTTTAACTTAACCTTGCCAACAAACAGGTCTTTGTATCAAATTGTGAATGTGCAGTTCCAAATTTTCCACAATGACAATATTTTAGAAACAATATTTTTACCTACCAGCAAGCTGATCATCTGGTAAGAACCTAACAGTTTCAACAGATCAGAAAAAACTTCTAGGCTGAGCAGAGCAGAACAAAATGTGGTGCTGTGAACTGAGAAAAGTACAGAAAAATTAGCCATTCATTTACAGGCACAGTCAGCGTTCCAACCAAACTCAGTTGCCATGCCTCAATTTCCAGACAGTTCTACCTGGATGACTGAGAATCTTCATCGATATATTGAGGACAACCTGTATTTGCTTACCACTTCTCAAACACAGACTTTGCTCTGAGTTAAGGATGCTCTATCATTCTACAATATGCACTGTTTTTATTAATCTGTAATGTTCTAAAATTAGGCAGTTATTTTTTTAACTAATTATTTTAACTGAGTTCTTAGTATTATCAAATACTAAGTATTGAAAGAGTCTAAATGACAACAAAAGAAAGACTAGTAATCCTCTTGTTCTCTCAACCAGAATATCTGAGACAAGTTCAAGGGACTTACCAGTGAGGTTGTTCAAGAGCCACAGACATTCGCTTACAACAAAAGTGTGTTTGGGAAGGAAATACTGCATAAAGACAAACAAGGCCTTCAGAAGGCACTCTTCCTTTATTACAAGCTCATCATTATTTGCTTTATCTTCTGCAAGAAGATTGCCAACACACCGCACAACAGGACATATCAACTGAAGGTAAAATAAAATGAGGTATATTCAGAAAAAGGTTTAAGAGTCTTAGTCTGGTAAATCCAATATACAATATTTCCACTTTACCAATTCTAGACCCTCAACAGAAGTTGTTGCTATCAGAGAGGACAATTCCAGCAACAGTTGCATTAGGGATGGCACAGTCCTTTGGGAAATCAGCAATGGATTGTTCACTTGGCTACAAATAGAAGGAAACCAAAATATAAGTATTTTATTTTAGCACCATGGATACAGCCCAATATTTCTCTTCCCCACACTCAATTTTTCAGGAGCACCAAATTTTGAATCTTTGTAATGTGAGTGGAAGCCATGGAATGTAAGAAATGCAGTGTTAAGACAGAGACAAATCCTGATTTAGCTATAGTAGAAGCTTCTTAGCAACTTTGATCTATTACAGTGATGGCTAACCTTTTCGTCGTCACATGCCAAAAGTGTGTGTGCGCACTTGCCTGCACCCATAATGGAATGCGCGTGCAACCCCCATGCGTGTACCGTGTGCCTCTGTGCATGCACACATGACCCCCCTGTGCATATCCCCCACGCATGCACAGCAGATACCCAACAATCAGCTGGCTGGCGGAGAGCATGCATGTATGCAGTGGATCTGTTCCGGGTGACGGCTCACATGCCGGCAGAAATGGCTCTGTGTGCCACTTCCAACATGCCTGCCATAGGTTCACCATCATGGATCTATTATCTAGAAGCTTGCCTCTTTGGATTTACGTTACCTTATAGGAAAGAAATTAGAATATACCTTCTATTTATTCCAGATCTGTAAAGTAATGGATTTGTTTCATAATAATCTAAACATAAATTTAGATGTGTGGGAATATCAATTCTGGTATTCATAATATGTATTGACCTCAATACACAAACATCTATGTAATTCCATTCTAAATGACAAACTGCAGCGAGTGAGAGATTAAATTATTCCTAACCAACCTTGCTGACAACTTTGTCATCCAAAAGGTAGAGGAGGTAACTAGAAGTAAAGTTATACTGGACCTACTTCTTACTAACAGAGAAGAAGTGATAGAGGGAGTTGAAGTTGCCAGAACCTTGGGTGAAAGTGACCATGTCATACTGGAATTCAATATAACACAAGCAATAGAAAATAATCCAACCAATGTTTTAAACTTTTAAACTTTAAAAGAGCTGATTTTTTTTACCAAACTCAGAATCTAGGAAAGATTCCATGGATGAAAATCCTAAAGGGGAAAACAACTCAAGAAGCATGGGAAACTCTGAAAAATACGATCATAAAAGCCCAGTTCAGCATAATACCTCTGAAAAAGAAAACAAGAAATTCAAGAAAAAACCACCAAGACTGCACAAAGATCTGATAGATGAAAAGGACAAGTACAAAAAATGGAAAGAGGGACATATAACTGATTATCAGCAGACAGCCAGAACATGCAAAGATGAAGTCAGGAAAGCAAAGGCTCAGAATGAACTAAGGCTTGATACGAAAGTCAATAATAATAAAAAAAGTTTCTTCTAACATATTAATAACAAGAAAAAAGTCAAGGAAGCAGTAGGTCCACTAAAAAGAGAAGATGGCAAGGAAGTAACAGGCAGTAGGGAAAAAAGCAGAGCTGCTTAACTCATTCTTTGCATCAGTCTTTGTGCAAGAAGAAATTATAGCCCAATGTACCAAAAAACTACTGTAAAAGACAAACTAGAAATAAAAATTAAAATAAGCACGAAAATGGTTAGAGAACACCACTGTAACAAACATAAATCACCCAGATCTGACAGATTATACCCCAGAGTTCTAAAGGAGCTGGCAGATGTTATCTCAGAACCATTGTACCATAGCTTTCAAAAATTCTGGAGCAGCGGGGAAGTACCTGAGGATTGGTAAAGGGCTAATGTGGTTCCCATCTTCAAGAAAGGAAAAAACCCCGACCCAGGAAACTACAGACCAATCATTCTAACCTCAATACCTGGGAAGATCCCAGAAAAGATAATCAAAAAATAGATCTGCGAACAACTAGAAGCAAATAAAGTTATAACTAACATGGGTTTATTAAATCGTGTCATGTCAAACCAATCTTATTACATTCTTTGATAAAGGGACTAAATTATTAGTAGACCAGCGAAATGCTGTGGATGTACTATAGTTAGATTTCAGTAAGGCATTTGACAAGTAGACCACAACCAACTTCTTGGTAAGCTGGAAAAACATGGAATAGGCAATATCACCACAAGATGGATTTGTAGCTGGCTGAAAAACTGTACACAACCAGTAGTCCTTAATGGTACGACATCCACATGGAGAGAAATAAGCAGTGAGGTACCACAAGGCTCCATCTTAGGCCCAGTACTCTTCAATATCTTCACAAATAATTTAGATGAGGGTAATAGAAAGGGAACCACTTGAATTTGCAGATGACACTAAACTGAATAGCCAACACCCTAGAAGACAAGCTCAGGATCCAAAAAGATCTTGACAAACTTGAACAATAAGCCATCTCCAACAAAATGAATTTTAATGTGGAGAAAAGCAAAGTTTTACATTTATGCAGGAAAAATCAAACCTATAAGTAAAGATTAGGTGAGACCAGGCTCAAAAACAGTAACTGTGAGAGGGACCTTGGAGTCTTAGTGGATGATCAGTTGAATATGACCCAAAATGTGCAGTAGCAGCCAAAAAAGCTAATACAATCCTAGGTTGTATAAACAGAAGCATAGAATCAAGATCATGTGAAGTATTAGTGCCGCTTTATAAAACCCTAGTAAGACCACACATGGAATACTGCAACAGATTTTGGTCAGCATACTATAAAAAAGATGTTGACACTTTGGAAAAAGTTCATAGAAAAGCAACTAAGATGTTCAAAGGCCTGGAAACTAAAACATGAAGAACAGCTGCAGGATTTGGGTTTGGCTAATCTAAAGAAAAGAAGAATTAGGGGTGACTTGATAGCAATATTCCAGTACTTGAGAGGCTGACACAAAGAAGAGGGAGGGGTGTCAAATTATTCTAAAAAGCACCAGAGGGCAGAACAAGAAACAATGGTTGGAAACTAATCAAAGAGAGAAGCAACCTGGAATTTAGGAGAAACTTCCTAATGGTGAGGACAATTAACCACCAGTGGAACAGCTTGCTTTTAGAAATCGTGGGCACTCCATCACTGGAAATTTTTAAGAAGAGACTGGACAGTCACTTATTTGAAATAGTATACATTCTCCTGCTTGAGCAGGTGGACTGGAAGACTTCCAAGGTCCCTTCCAGCTCTTATTCTAGAATGTAGGACATAGAATAATAGTCTAATGTCTAAAGTTAGAGTAAGACAGTTGATGTATAATAGGGTGAATCCTGTTCATATTTCAACACATCCACAGGGCTTCCATCAAACTGGCATGCCCTCATCAACTACGAAATGGACTATCTATTCAAAGTGGTTAGTGGGTAGAAGGGTATCTTCATGTCAATGAAGAAGTCTTTGCAGTGTTCTTGGTAACATTTTTGGAAAAGTGTTTACCATTGCCTCTTTTCTAGGGCTGGCAAGATTGATTGGCCCAGCCAGCTGGGTTTGTGTCTACAGCAGGATTACAACTCAGAGTGTCCCAATGTCTAGACCACTGCCTTTAAGTAGCATGTCAAACTGGCTTGCTCAGTTCAAAATGGGACTATCATCCAGAATTTTCAGCTGATACAAAATGCAGCTGCTTGTCTGGTAATGGGGACCTCCTAATAATATTTCACAATACCAGTACTTCAGGAATTGTGCTGGCTACCAATTTGTCTCTGGTACAATACAAGGTACTAGTAATAAAGGCCTTTATGGCCCAGGCCATAGATGTACTGTAGGGCTGCTTACTCCAACCAGAATCTATTCACCCAAGGTGTACAGCAGGGGTGTCCAACCTTGGCAACTTTAAGACGTGAACTTCAACTCCCAGAATTCCTCAGCTGGCTGAGGAATTCTGGGAGTTGAAGTCCACAAGTCTTAAAGTTGCCAAGGTTGGACACCCCTGCTGTACAGCATAGGAACGATACCAAAACTCCCTATTCTCCACCCTCAAGGGGCAAGAGCAGGCAATTTAGAAGCAAGCATGTTTCTTGATGGGGAACTGCTTCCTGCTGGAAAAAAAAATCGGCATCCTCATTGTTAATATTTAGAAAATTGGTGAAAACTCACTTAATGCATTTAAGCAAGCATTCAGAAATTAAGATATGTAGCTAGTGTGAAGTTGAACATTATAAATGGTGTTGTCAATATGACTTTTACTACTGATATTATATTAATGTGTATGGTATTGCTTTTTATTGCATTTGTTTTTGTTAAGACACTCAGGTTGCTTTTTCCCCCTGAAGCAGAATAAAAGCACTTGTAAATATATAAACCCAGTTCTTTGTCTCCTGATTTTTCAATTGTACTGGTAGCTGGCTCTGTCTTTGTTCTTGTTCTTTGACTTCAGGCAGACTGGAAATTCCTCTTTTTTTCCTGATTTTCTGACATAATCATATCACCTTAAAAATCCAATGATATGATGCCCAAGGACCAACGTTCTGTGTTATTTTTATTGTAAATCAGTGTATGCAATTATCCAATGTAGTTACAGTACTATAAATAGAATCCTATCAAAGGGATTGTTTTGTTCTATTTTCTATTTCCTGACACACCCTTTCTAAAAAAACAACAGAAGGGCAACCAGAGGAGTAAACTATCACATGAACTAACCTAATTTCCTATTTAAAATGACAATGTTTTTTCTTCAGGGAAAGCCTATAATTAAATCCTATCTAATAACTAGCTACCAACTGTCTTTTGTTCAACATTTTCCCCACTCTCAGTTGCTAAGGAGTTTAATTAATTCTTTAATGGCCACTCCTCCCACAATGACACCAGATGTTTTTCTCATGATTTACCTACAAAGCCTGGAATGAAAAATCATGCCTCTGCTTAACGTTTATTCCCCTCTATATTCTGACTACTATTTGAGAACTTCATTGTCCACAGGATATATTTACCTGCAAATAATGTAGTGAAGACCCCATGCACATTCCACTGCAGTTCCTATTCCATCTTGCAGTCTGGAACAAACCAAGTGAAGCATGTGTTGAGGGAGGGTGGATTCTAAGAGCAACCTGCAGACAAAAAGAAAATCTTATTTAATTACCAAGCAGAGAACGAAGCAGTCAGATAAGCACTATCATATCGCAGAAGCTTATATGGTGTGAAAGAAAACATTGTACTATGTGGGCCTTGATAAATGGAGCAAGAATTTGTATACAATTTTACAGAGCCACTACATTTAGATTCTCAGCATTTATTAAAATGAATGTAGGTATTGTTTAAGGAATCAGGCTAGAAACGGGGAGTCTCTAGTCCTGCCAAACTGCCACGAAGACAGTTTGGTAACCTTAGACTAGTCACTTTTTCTCAGCTGAGGAAAGGAGGCAATGGCAAACCGCTTCTGAAAAATCTTGCCAAGAAAACTGCAGGGACTTATATAAGCAATTTCCAAGAACCAAGCACGATTAAGAAAACAATTTAAAAATGTACTCTTTACCTTAAGACCAATGAAGATATAAATGAACAGGCAAAAACAGATTATTTCCTTTTTATGGGGAGATTGTGACCAGCAAGAGAAAGCTTACCTATGAGAAGCACCCTACTAGAGGCTAGCCTAGTGAGAAGCACCCCACATCATTTGCCCCACATCACCCAGGACACTGTTGCTGCAGGAGCAATTTCCAAGAGACCTACTTCCTTGAGCAGCCATCATGCCCCAGCTTGACACTGCCAAAGTCCAATCAAGGCAGGAGGAACTGAAAAATGGTATTTCGATCTGAATGGGCATCACATAACCACATAAGCATGTAATTCCTAATTGGAATTTCACTTACGGTATGATTTCAGCTGGAGCTTCCTTGGATTGCAAGAGTTGTGACAGAACATAGCCAACACTTTCTTGTATCGTCACATGAGGAGACTGAAATCAAGCAATCCAACTTATCATCTAATAGTTTAGGGTCAAAGTGTCAGTTAGAGAAGGAAGCAGAGAATAGCAATGCATGTACAAGAAAATAGATTGTTTTAAATATCCCACAAATTATACGGAAACATCCCACAAATATTCTCTTGCTTGGTAAATTGTGCTAAGTCAGTGAAGAAAAAGCTGTAATGCTGACAATTCAGATGCCTATATTCAGTAGCATTTTTAATAGTTTCATGCTAAAAATATGTATTGGACCTGTGGACAAGATTACCTATGCAAGAATTCCCTCAGAAAATATACTTTTTTAGAAATACTCAGAAGTTTCCCAATAAGTTAAGCAACTCTTAGTAATACAGTAACAAGCTATACTTTAAAAAAGGAAGCTATCCTCTTTGAACATTATTTTAATATCTTGAGCAATTGTACAATATAGCACATGCTACAAAAAAAGGAGATTTCACTTTTTTAGTCATGGAGAATTAAAAATGAGTGCATTGTAATAGTTGACGCATTCAAGACTTGGAATACTCATTTAGTCTTGGATTTCATTGGAAGGCCTTGGGCCAGTCACTATTTCTCAGTGTAACTTAAATCACACAATTTTTGTAGTAAGGATTAAAGAAGGTAAATTTCACATTTGCATCAGGAAGGGCAATATAAATGTAATAAATAAAAGTAATTCATGAACCAAAACTGATATTCAAAATGGCTGGGCAAGAATACTCACCTTGATACAGGATGCCAACACTGGGATGATGCCCTGAGGTAGAAGATGCTTTTTCACAGCTTTCATTTCAACCACTAAGTTCCCTAATGTGTATAAACACAGCTCCTGAAATACATTAGGAAAGAGTATGTTCCTCCCCTATGTTCACTCTAATCTAACTGCAGCTTTGTGAACAAGAGCTGCAAACAAGAGTAAGATTAGTAAATATTTGAAAATTTAAATGCATAATAACTATGCTAGGAGTAAAAAAGGCAAAGTATATAACTTCTATAGCAAGACAAAAAAACCACAAATATGTCTTATAGCATACATGAAGCATTCCCATTTGGATGTTGGGATCTAGGTGAGATCTGTTAAGTTTTTAAAGTATTTTTTAACAAGTTTCTACTGTGCAAAACAATTTGTCTAATTTCCAGATGATCCTCAGAATCTTCACAGTTCTGGAATCAAATGATCTGCCCTTAAACCATCAAAATTGCAAAAGAAGTTGGCTTATCAGATCTGTGCCATAAAAACTCAGTTTAGTGGTATTTGTTGGCACTACCTGGTAGATGACCACAAACATTTAGACCTACCTTTGCCTTTTAAAGCAAATAGCTTACTGAAAAGAATCATTCTGAAATTATTACATTCTACAAGTGGAATTACACAGGGATAGTCACTTCTGGCTTAACAGAAGTAAGAGCAATTAAGCACAAGAATCCATCTTACCATGAGAGCTACACTGTGTCCGGAGAGGTAAGTCAGGAGATAAGAGGTTGCTGGCAAGCATGCTTCGACCACATCAGGATCAGTAGACAGTGAAAGTTCGTGTAAACAGCAAGCTGCATCCATCTGCAGATTGGCTAGATTGCTGGTAAATAGGCCAATCAGCACAGACATACTTCCCTCCAACCTATCAATTAAAGCATATATATATATACTGTATGTATGTGTGTGTATATCTATCTATCTATCTATCTATCTATCTATCTATCTATCTATCTATCTATCTATCTATCTATCTATCTATATATATATATATATATATATATATATATATATTCTCCTGCTACATTGCATCCTTGTCTAAACAAAGAAAAGCAATGCCCAGTTGAAAGTATCCTACCATATTTCCCCGAAAATAAGACTGTGTCGTATATTTTTGGGGAGACCAAAAGACACATTGTGTCTTTTTTTGGGGGGTGTCTTATTTTGCTACCAACTGCCCACTCCCTCCCACCATCTACTTGCCCGCGGCCCGAACGGCTTACAAGGATTCCCAGGGCAGACAAGCTTTTCGACTGGACAGAGAAACGGAGACTCGAAACTTTTGCAAATGGGACGCTTTGAAATGGAGCTAAATGCATTGGAATCACCTGCCCCACCCCCAGTGCCTCTGCCTGGCTCTGCCACGCACATTACCCAGAAGGAGATGAAGCTTCATCTGCTTATAAATACGGTGGTTTGAAATGGAGCTAATCGCTTAATTTCAAAGCATCCCATTTGCAAGCAGATGAGGCTTCGAGTCTCCATCATTTCTCTATCCAGGCGAAAAGTATTTGGCCGTTTATGGGGCACTTGAGAATGGAGAAAATCACTCCAATCCCAAGCACCACATAGGCACCCAAACACTTTTTCCCCAAAGGGAGTTGAAGCTAATCGCTCCATTTCAAAGTGTCCCATTTACAAGCAGACAAAGCTTCATCTCCCTCTGGGCAAAAAGTGTGCTGTAGAACCAGGCAGAGGCAGAGGCATGGGAGTGGGAGGAAGGAAGGCGATCCTACACTAGTATCATTCTATAATGGACGTGTACATCAGCTAACCTGATAAATTTCTGCTGGATTTCTCTGTATCGTAGTCCTTGTCGAAGAAGTTGCATAGAGGCTGTTCTGTCTTCTGTTCCTCTCTGGATTTTTTTTAAAAGCTGTGAAAGCTGCCAATGAGCAATACTGAATCAACACAAAACTTTACAGAGAAACAAAATCTGAGATGGAAGCTTGTTTTTATTCCACTTAATGTGGAAGGCAAAAATAAACCACATTTTGTAACAGGAGAGATACTTTTTTGTCAAGAAAACAAATGGATCATAGAAGAAATCAATCCAGAATTTTCACTCAAGGAATAAATGGCCACTTAAATGATAATAGGGGATTGTGAAAATCAAGATTGCTACAGCTAAAGTATGGATGACTGTCAAACTCATTAACAACTGCAGCTGGCATACCAGTAATTTGGATAAAACCTTTCCTTGCTATCATTTGTAAACCTAAAGACGCCCTCTGTTCAGTAGTGAATACAGGTAGTCCTCGATTTACAACAGCTGATTTAATGATCATTCAAAATTACAATGGCACCTAAAAATGTGACTTATGACCATTTTTCACACAACAATTGCAGCATTCCTACAGTCATGTAAATTCAGATGCTTGGCAACTGACTCGTATTTATGACTGTTGCAGTGTCTCAGGGTTCATGTGATCCCTTTTGAGACTTTCTGACCAGCAAAATCAATGGAGAAGCCAGATTCACTTAACAACCATGTTACTAACTTAACAACTGCAGTGATTCACTTAATTGCGGCAAAAAAAGATCTTAAAATGGGGCAAAACTCACTTAACAAACATAACAACGCTGGGAATGGTGAAAAGAAAGAGAAGCAAGGGGAGCAGACTTGATTGTAGCAATGATGTGTGCATTGTTGGAAGACTTGTAGGTCCAGGTGGAGGACACATCGCCCTGGAGAAGGTTTATCTATGTAGTCATTCATTTTATTTTTATTTATTTTAATTTAGAAAATGTACATTGCCACCTACCCAACTCAAGGCGGCTTACACAGATATTGACACTGACTCAAGATAGCATCTGATATAATCAATCACTCATTAAGAATGCTGAAGGGAGGGCATTAAAGCAGTCCTGGAGAACGGCCACCAGTACTTTAAGTAAGTTTCCAGAAAGTTAATAACCCAAAGACTGGAACTGAATATACTGCAGTGAATTCCAATTTATTTAGTGACGTATATCTTACCTCTTCCTCTGACAAAAGAGCTGCTGTCTCACCATCCATTTCAACTTCTCCATCGGATGACTTGTCTTCACATAAACGCCGCTTACTGAACAACTGTTTTAGCCTCCGTGCACTTCTCAGAGCTGTAACAAAACTGTTAAAATGATCAAAGTGCCCTTGTATAAAAGGAAGAGATAAAAGAATGGTTTAATGCTGTTATACAAGATTACACAGTAAGTTTGACTATTTTTTTTTTCATATTATCTAAGTTAAAAGTTTGGATGGAATCATGCTAAAATGACAACATACATTAAGTGGGATAAAAAATAATGAATTGCCTCAGTTCAAAACTAAATAAGGAAATTAGAAACACAGTTACCTGCTTCTTTCTCTCTCCGCCAAGTTCTCAGGTGCTCAACACTGCATCCATGCGACCGGTAACAACTTCTCTTCCAGCTTTTCGGACCAGCCGTTCCAGGTACCGAAGCAGCCATCATGGTCGAAAACCCGAGACTGGACGAATAGAAACGGTAGCTGCGCTGGCTGGAGTGTGTATTTAGCTTAGAAATTAGGTGCTATCTCTTTAAAGCTTTGCCTGCTGGGAAATGTAGTTCTTTATCACGTGGTCACATCTGTACCTCTGATTGACCACCGGGTCAGTCTTCTGATTGGATGAGGGGCATTCTTGATTACGTGTAAGCTAGCGAGTTAAACTGTCTGTAACGAGGAGTATGCAATATTATTCTTGGAGCAGGATAGTAAAAAGAGATTGCAATAAATCCCTCTAAATCGCAAGAAAAGAGAGAAGGGATCCATTTGGGTGAAGCAAATAAATAATAGATCCGTACTTCCTCTCTGCAGGCTTGAATTTGCTGCCTGGGACCAAGAACAAGCATGTTAATTACCTCGAGAAACTATTTGCAGGTGAAAGAAGCTGATTCAATCCATTTGATACAGGGAGGGGCCGTTATCTCCCTCTATTGAACGAGGCAGGAAGAGGATTAGTTTAGCAAACAGATGACTGCATCTTTTCTGGCTCTCTCCCTGCGACTTTTTAAACGTGATACTTTGAGAGCTTCCTTCAGCCATAAAAGGAGGGGCCATAAAAGGAACCTCTCCCTGGTTGCTTTGGAATTTATGACACAGGTCCCCATAGCAACCAGCCATAAATACTACTGGCTGGGTTATCTAACTCTGCATGCACAAGCCAACCTGAGAAATGGAAACCCAGCCAAATTAAAGAATCATTGCTGAGGCTCTCTTCTTTAGCTCTTGCTTGGAAAATAAAAACATCTGCAAGAGTCAAGCCCTCAGAGTTTGCAAGCATTCAGTCCAAGCTGGGAACCTCAGAACTGGAAAGTCGGCTCAAGCCCTATGAAAGGGAAAATGCCAAAAGCCCAGTTTACTCCAAACTTAGTCTAAGTTGCAATGCACCCCAGTGGTTAAGAATCGCAATGATGTCTTCTAAATCAGGGGTCCCCAACCTTTTGGACCTCAGGGACCACCAAACTCATAATTTTAAATCCCGTGGACCAGAGACCCTGGGAGAATCCCCCAAAAAGTCTACAGGAAAATTCCCCACCCCATTTTCCTACCAATCGATCATTATTTGGGATCACAGGATACCATCTCCAGCTCCATTCTCGGGGGGGGGGGGGAGGGAGACTTTTGGCTTCATGCAAGGAAAGCAACAGAAGCAGAAGAAGTCTTTCTTTCTCTCCCCCAAACTTCACCAGAAATGAGACTTTGTGAGACTTATCGCACTGGTGCAGCCTCTTGGAGCAGGAGGCTTTGCAGGGTCCCAAAGATTCATTTCTGGCAGAGTTTGGGGGAAAGACAGACAGACTTTTGCTGCTTTCCTTGCATGCAGCCAAAAACAGAAGAAGAAAGAAGCAGAAAGATGTTTGCAATGCAAGCAACGCAAGCCTTGTGTTACCACGGGCCATTTGGGCGGTGCAGCCTTGTTTTCCACGCAGCCTGGATTAATTGCTTTGTGGGGTGCTTTAGGGGTGACATTTCTCTACGGACCACCAAAATTTTCTTGCAGACCACCAGTGGTCCCTGGCCCACTGGTTGGCAACCACTATTCTAAATTCATCTACCCGCTTGTTAATGCACCCCAGTGGTTAAGTAGCGAATTGCAAAGATGTCTTCTAAATTCAGCTACCTGCTTGCACCACACTCCAGTGGTTAAGTAGTGAATTTCAACATTTTTGAAATTCAGCTACCCGCTTGCAACCCCTCTTAGTGGCAAAAAGGGGAATTGCACAGAAAACAAAAATTCCCTTTGCTAATCTGAAGGTATGGCATCGTCTCCAGTCATTGCAGATGTCTCTGATGTACCGGAAAAACCAAACTCTCTACCTAACCTCGACACAAATTTAGAATTTGACATCCAAGACCCAGAGTTGGATCTCCAAAATTCAGAAGAGGCAGAGGTACCTCAGAAAGCCTACGACTTCAGACAGCAAAGAAAGCTTACCGAGGTCATGCAGTTACACTTGATGGATGAGTGGGACAGACAGTATGGACGTTATATAGACTCATGGGCAGAATTGCTGAAGATCTGCGATGCACCCAAATGCAAGCTTTCCCTCAAGCGCATCCGCTGATTGAAAAACAAGCTTCTCGCACGATGGAAAGACAACGAACGTGGCCTCAAATCCGTCCAAAGCTGTGTGACTCAAAGCTCCAAGAGCACATACAATACTTTGAGATGTTGAAAAAGGAGTGTGAGAACTCTCTCCACGCAATGCTCCATGCTGTGTTCCAGGTGGAGGAAATGTTGAGGGAGAAGGTCACATCCAAAGTAACCCATCAATCACACATGGCTTCCTCCCATCATTCTAAGAAAGTTGCCTCCCTCCATCCCAAGCCAACCAGATCTCAGGCAGGTTCCAGCGTATCACAGCAATTTTCTGCTGCTAGCTCTTCCAATCATTCCAGAGCATCCTCCCGTCGTAGCTATGCGTCACTCAAGAGCAGTGAGTTTTGCCAACTGAGCTGCAGAAGTTCAAGTTGAAGCCACGGTAGCAAAGGCAGAACTATGTGCAACAGAGGAGGCAGTAGTAGCTACGGCGGCAGAAATGGCCAAAGTTCAGGCCAGTCAACAAGTAGAAATAACCAAAGTTCAGGCCAGCCAACAGGAAGAAATGGCAAAAGCTTAAGCCAAACTGGAGTTACTCGAACGACAACAGGAGACGGCAGCAAAGATAGCATGGGCCGCAGCATTGCAGAAGGTGGCCAATGCTTCCCACAACTTCAATCCTGGAGTCAGGAAGAGAGAGCCCAGATAAACATGTCAAGGTCTATGTGGATGAGCAGACCTGATACTAAGTGATGGGGACTGATTTGGTCCAGGTCCATCCACTGTGGAGCCCTTGGATAATTCCCACATCCCATGTACTAAGGGAAATATTGTATCTAGAGACTAAATCAGTATTTTAAAACTTGGCATCTTTTAAGATATATGAAATTCAGTGGGTACATTGGCTGGGGGAATTCTGGGAGCTTAAGTCCACACATCCTAAAGTTGCTGAGGTTGAGAACACTATTTTAGGTAATGATGCAAGTAAATATCATGGGGCTGTTGACTTCCAGTAGTGCATTTGATAGATAACAGGTTTGCTTCATCATTCCAAAATTTTAGATAACTTTTGAAGCTAAGCAAATAGTACTGGGTGATAAAAGAACCCCATTGTTATTAACCATTCCTTGATAAAATTTCACATCATTATTTTACAAAATTCTTAATAGTTTCCTAAGTTTATAACAAATGAAGAAAAATACAATTCAAACAATAAATATTTTCATATTCATAGAGTTTAGATATTGTTTGGTGACACAACTTTGACACTGACCCAAACCATGTTCAAACCTATCAAGTTTTTAAAAAACCCTAGAAGTGAAATTCCATACATGTGAAAACACTGTTGTGAAAAAAAAATATCCTTTTTGATAAATTTATCAGAGATCAAGAATGCTCTAGATAAATCAAGTATTTATAAAGAAAGAAATATACTTTATTTTGGAAATCTACACATGGCATCTGGAGAGAATATATGGCAATACCTTATTTCTAATTATTGTCTGATATCAGAATTACATAGATACTCAAAATTATAAGAAATAATTTGAGAAAGTTTCAAAACTACTTGGCCAAAAAAAAGAATATAAAATATGACTACATTCTACGAGGCAACGATAAGGAATTGAATTTAAATGAAAACTTTTCTGAACATCATTTGGAAAAGCAAGCACTTAAACCTGTGGTCTTAAACATGCTAAATATTCAGCAAATCCAGGAAAGAAAAATTAGGCAAACTTTATGGAACAGAAAAGAACTGCATTTGGTTGTTGCTTGTGTTGTATCTATTCTTGGGAAGTATGTGGGAGCAATATATTCTTTATAAAAGCAAAAAATACAGAATAACAAAACCAGCTTGCAAAAGGCACTTAATCACCTTAATGTTTATAAGGTATTTGTGTTAGAGCGAATCTTTAGAAAAGAATAACATTCAAATATTCCCATCAGAGTGATTAACTGGCACTTGGGTGGTCCTATCATCTTCCAACACAACTCCGAGTATGATAAAAATGCTGCAGGAATAGAGATGGACGTCTTGGAGACAATATTCTAGTACTACTCATAAAAAAAACATACATATTTCCCTTCCGAAGATTCAGAAATCTAGCCATTAGGTAGCCAGAAAATGGAAGATTGCTTTCTAAGGTCCCACTTTCTTACTATCATAATAGATTTTTCAAAATCATGACTACGCATTAAAACAAAACAATCTCTTAATGTCTTCTGGAATGAAGATCTGACAGACAAAGTAAAGTTCCAGGCACTTTTACCCCATACGGAAAAATAACAGGCTTCTATACAAGAATCTGCTTTAATCATCAGGGATTAAGATTAAAGATTGAAACAGAACTTAATTGGTAGTCTAAGGTAAACCATTCCATTCATAGTCATTTTTATATACTGTATATTAATATCAATTTTTATTTATGGCCAAAAGCTATGCATATACACATACACATACATGCACACATACACACACACACACACACACACACACAGAGTGAAGGTACATAATCCTTTGAGCAACATTACATGATATGTCCATTTTCCTAAGACAGTATAGTTTACAAGAGAAAACTGTAATGTGTAATACAGTACTTGTTAAGGTATAAGAGCTTTGTGAAGGTGTGGATCAATATCTTCAGGAAACTGTCAAAGTGTACACGAAAGAGAGGGCATACATTCCTATGCCACATTGGACCACCACAGATCATGCACCCTGTATCTAGCTGAGGGTCTTGTATGAAATATAACTGAATTACATAAAATCTGATACTTTATTTCAGCCTTTTCTTCCCACAATATGCTTTGAACTATCTGAAAAGACTCGATTCAATATCTTGCACAAAATTTGCTGCCATCCAGGGTTCATCCATATTTTACAACTTAGATACAGTAGCTCTATGTATCTACAGCTATATCTCAGAGAGAAATATTTTCTTTCAGTGCAAGAAGTCAACAAATCTTTGCCATCATCTATTGGCTATGTGTGTGTGTGTGTGTTGCAACCCAGTTATGACAGTCCATACACACATGCATTATTTAGTGGAAAGATTTAGTATATAATAAATATACTCAAATGAGACCTCCTAGGAATCCAGTTGCTTAGCTTCTTGACAGATGAATTACCACATTCACAGTAAAACAAAAAAAAGAAAGTATGTTTTGTGCAAGAGTCTTCAAACTTGGCCAGTTTAAGACTTGTAGATTTCAACTCCCAGAATTCCTGAGTTAACATGACTGGAGGAGGAATTCTGGGAGTTGAAGTCCACAAGTCTTAAAGCTTGGCAAGTTTAAAGACCCCTGTTTTAGTGTATAGTGTAATGGTGGAAATCTGATTAAAGCAGTTCATCAGAAGACTTTGGGGCAGTCACTCTGATGTAGCCCATAGAATTGTTATGGAGGAAAAGAGGGGAGCATTGTCTACTGCCTTGAGCTCCTAAGTAAAAGGTAGTTTTGCAAGTAAACAAATACATGAAAAAAGAAAGTGATTCTGGAGATTCATTAAGATCTTGTGTCTTCAGTAGTTTTACTACAGATAACTAAAATATCCAAAAACATGGGACCTAGAAAGCTTAACTGAGGTCAAGAAAGGTTAAACTGTAGCCATCTGTCAAAGGCAGGTCATACAGAGGCCACCGAGAGTTTCCAGCCTTGCAGGTTGCCTATGCTGAGTCAGTCTTTGGTGCAGGAAGAATTAGAATACCAATCATTTATTTAAAGCAATTAAAAGTAAAATAGAGATGGCAAAGACTCCAGCCATTAAAATTTTAAAACATAGTATAAAGCAACTAGAGATAATAGGATCAGCAGTACCCACAATACCAAAAATACAACAGCAAGAAGTTGTATTTAGTGATAATTTTCTAATATTTAGTGATAATTTTCAGGATGCATCGAGAAAAGGGAAAAAAGCACCTTTTGTTTTTTAAAGAAATCTACATTATCTTTGTGGCAAGTAGATGCTTGCACAAATAAGGACTCAAATCGCCAAAATCAGGAAAGAAAAGAAATGCATGTCAGTATTATAAAAATACATGATCAGGAGAAAGCTGGTATCTCACACTGTGTTTCCTGGCATGGGCACATTTATAGCAGGCATGCCATATCAGTTGCTTTTTGCTCCATTAAAGAAACTGCCTTGCTATCCAAACCCAGGCTCTCATCTGACCAGGACAGTTGAAGCAAGCAGCACCAGTTTCATTCTAGAACTGTGAACCTTAAAAAGCAGACCTGCTGAAATATTATTTGTCCATTATAAAATACTTTTCCAATTAATAAGAATGTCTAAAGTGGAGCTAAATATTTTGACCTATGTAGAACTGAAAGAGATGAAAAGCTGATACCCCTGGAGTATACTGTTGCATGAATATTGTTGCATTTCTAGTTTGATCTTCTCCTGGATGAATTGAAATAGTCTTTGACTGTCTTTTCGACATCAGGAATTGCATACGTCTGAGCAGCAAACACTCCAGTACAACTCCCCACCAAAAAGCCTATGATTGCTGAAGATCTTAGTTTGGCTACAACAAATCCAGCAAGAAATCCTTTGACAAATGGAGAGGCCAGCCAAGAACCATCCTGTTGAAAAAAGAAAAAGAAAAGGTCTCTGAGCAATGCTAAAATTCACTTATTTTCTCTAGAATTCAAAGCTAATATAATGTTACTAACTAAACATATATTGATTTCAGTTGCAAGACAAGTACTAATCGAGGCATTAAAGAACTAATATACTGTTCCCTAATGATAGGACTGTTTAAACTACATGCAGTGGACCTAACTACTGACTTTTAGGAGAGAGAGATAGTTAAAAGATTTCCATATATAAGAATTTTGAAGCTTGGATTCATTTTTTTAATATTAAAACAAGACCATTTATTTGCTGTATAATTGGCCTTTAGACATGCCCTTTGGATCACAAATATCTCCAGAATCATTATTGATTATTAGTAAAAACTGGTATACTCCTGTTTCATCATTTTTCGTACCAGCTAAATTTAGAGAAAGTAATTTAACTTTATATGCATATGGTATTGTGGAGAAATTGCAGAAACCTTTTATGTGGATCGGTAGAACTCTAGTCCTAATCTATTTGCTTTGAATTGAAAACAATTGGACAATTGATCTTATTTCATGATGTCCTTTTATTTTCTATATTTCAAAACCTTAATTAAATTTTAATCAGCAAATACTTAATTCGGCTATTTCTGATGGAGATCAAGAAGAGTATTCTATTTACAGTATATTTGAATCAAACATAATCCACTGCATTAATAATGTATTAATGGATAAATCATAATATACATTCTTTATATAGCCCTAAAAACCATGAAAACTAGTTGGGTGATCTTGGGCCAGTCAGCCCAACTCACCTCATAGGGTTGTTGTTGTGAGGAAAATAGGAGGAGGAAGTTATGCTGAATACATTAAACAAATAAATATTGTGGTGCATTAACAGATAAACTATACAGTAAATCTCAATTTAAAGGAAATGAAGAGCTGTCGAGTAATCGAATCTCCATTTTTATTTTGGGGGTGGGTAGGTAGGTGCTGATAGTATGTTTACTATGGTTTACAAATTATGAAGTTTATTTTTGATGGAATATTAACAGGATGTTAATCAGCTAATCATACTTTGTTGACATTTATATTTAAGCATTCTGTAGCAAATGAAAGGCATTTACTGGAAAACAAAGCAACTCCATTCTTACCTGCCCCACTCCAGCCTGTACTTCATTTTCAACTTTTTGTTTCAAACTTTCCAACTGATTCTTCAAAAAAGCAAGATCTTTCAATTTTGGCAGAGAATCCTACATATTGGAAACAAAGAAGCATATTCCAAATTGCATGCACAATCTATTTCAATATCTTTGTGAATCTACTATCACTATTACTACATCAGGAAGATACTAGGTCTTTTTTTAAAATGCATCTGACTTTTCTCCAAAAGCTTAAGATCAAAAACAATACTATACATTCATGTAACACAGTTTAACTGTATGTTTTTCAGAGCAGGAAATAGGGATTGTTTAGTGGACTATTTTTCAAATATTAGTTACTGGCAGCAGCAGGCAACTTTTGTTTACCAAGGTTTGCATCAGGTATATGACCAGGTCTTAGGGTAGATTCAAATATACAGCTTAACACAGGCACTCCCATTCACTCCTTCCTGTTATGTCTCAACTCCCAACTAACATCCTACCTATTCATAGTTCAAAGATGGAGGTTTGAAGTACTTAGGTCTTAGGAGAAATGGGAATATGCTGCTTCCATTAAAGCATGCCGAGAACTATGGGGGAGACAAATCATCTTATTATTCTATTCTATAGGACTGATCCTTTCATCAAAATGATAAAAATAAATCACACTGTAAGCTCTGTCTCTTTTGTACAGGAGTACAAACATAGGTACATACAACAGAAATAGAGCTTGCATGCAAAAGAATACTGCTTTTGAAATTTGTCCCCCCTTGAATCCTGTGCACATCAGCTGGGAGAGGGGGAGAGAATCTGTATTAGGCTACATAGACAGCTACACAGACTGAGACCATGATAGTGATGAAACATAAAGCTATTGAAAAGCTGCCACAGTTGCACCTATCAAACATATTTATAACCCGTCATAATAAAATTTGGCTAATTAATTAAAGATTGTATGTAGATGGATAGTCTAGACCAGGGGTGTCAAACGAAGGACCAGCCCGCAGTGCCTCTGCCAGCGAAAACAGAGCTCACAAGCCCCCCACCCCCAGCTCTGTTTTCACTGGCAGAGGATTGCAGGAGGCCATCACAGCCGAAAATGGAGCCCAGGATCCCACGGGCGCCCCTCCCGGAGTTATGTCCTGCTGGCCACAACCACGGTGGCCCCACACACACGTACACACAGGCCAAACACAACCCTGATGTGGCCCTCAATGAAATCAAGTTTGACACCCCTGATCTAGACTGAAAGCAATAGTCTTTCCAAAATCACCATCAAATTATAAATATTATTACATCATTGATTGTGTACATCATGGAACTATGACAGAAAATATGGATTCTCCGGACAAATCCTAATGAATTCCTTGAATTTTAATATTGGAGTTCCACAAAATCCATATGCAAAATCAAAACCAAAGGAGTAACAGATTCCAACCTTTTTCAAATATGCTTTTTATTGTTAATTTTCTGTATTATATTCCTATCTGTTTAGTATGTTCACTATATTGTGAGCCAGTCAGATATTTATTTTTCGGCTGTGAGGCACCACGAAATTTAAGGAATAAATAAAAGGTGGTGCAGAAATAAATACTTTGGGCATAGTTTCTCGCGAATCATATGAATTAATATAGAGAATGTCTGCCCTCCGGGGCTTACTTACTACAAATCAGCTCTATCTGTGATATGCCCCTAAGGTGAAACGTTATTATGAAAATATCATGAGGATCCATGTGTTCCTCCATGCTTAAGTAAAAAAAAGAAAGGCAGCTCCGTGACTATCACGATTTATTTATATGAAGATCGACGAATTCCAACTCCACGAGTTTCTGCGCGGGGCAGCAAAAATCTTAAGTGTTTCTGGCTTTAAGTGGCAAAAAACATGCAAGATGGAGTTCGATAACATTGGTCAACCTACAACTTGACGTTTCTTGTAGACATCTTATTTTTGAAGCTGGCTTTGGACCCGAGTCCGGGTAGTCCGTGAAAAATCGAATCAAAGAAATCAACTTTGGGGATTCGCGTTATTTAGATACCTTCCCAAACCGGCTATCGGCGGAGATGGGCAGCCACTTTGGGGGATGAGAGAAGAAAGAGCGCGAGTGGAAACCCGGAGCGCACAAGACGCTTCCACACGCTCGCCTACCTTATCGTCCGCCATTTTTTAGCCGGAAATCGCTCAGCTTCCCTCTGCACATGCACAGGTGGGGCCAAGAGAGAGCGGCTTCCCCAAATATATCCAATGAGCGTCGGTGGACTGGAATTGCTCTGAGTTCAACGCCTTCTCTGCCGCACCAGGCTGCTCTGTCCGATTTGGCGTGCTTTCCAGTGGCATTAGCGTAAACCTCAAATGACAACGTTTGGTTCAGCAGATCGGCCTTTTACTTTACTTTCTTTCCCCCGGCAATCCGCAGGGTCGGAAGAAATCAATGCGCCCTCTCGCCTGTAGGTGGTGCTGCCAGCTTGGGCTTCCTTCACGGGAGCAGAAGTCCCACTGAACTCGGCCCGGCTCCAGCTACATTGCAAGCTGGCGTCATCACCCTCAACCCCCTCCGCTCCTCCTCCTCTCCTTGGCTCGGCTCGGCTCCGCCCAGCGAGGCCAAACTAAGAGCCACCCTCTGCCGCACCGTCGCTGCTGCCTCCCTCCCCGCCGGGTTGCACAACATCTTGCCTCCAGAGTGAGCGAAGCAGCTATGCTGGGCAAGGACTACATGCTGGCCATCATCCTGGTCAACTGCGATGGTGAGAGTAGCAGCCGCAGGAGCGGCGCGGCGGGAGAGAGAGGAGGGGAGAGCCCCTATTTGGGAGGAGGGACGCGGCAGCCTCAGGTGGGACAGGGAGGGAGCAACTTCGGACTCGCCGGCCTTCAAGACTTAAGAAACCAGTGGCCCGGGAAGCATTGGGGTGCATTTCGATTGACCTCCCCACTAGGGTATGGGTGTGCGCGTCTGAGTTTTGGAAAGTACGTCAGGACTGCCTTCCCTCATTGGAGAGTGGACAGGGGGCCTGATGGGGCCATTCCTATCTGGCTACCCTCGCGCACTCATCCTGGGCGGGGGCGTCAGCCTCTGGGCTCATGTCGGCATCCAGATGGGAATGGCATGGCAGTTTCCCCTTTAGATGATGTCGTTGCCTCAATGTGCTACTCCCTTGTACCTTGCCTACTATTATCATCATCATCATTAAACACAAGTGGCTACCTTTGCCGCCTGTTGGTCGGGGCAAAAGATGCTGACGTCTTGTCCCACATTAGTGGGAAGATACTCATAACTGGTTTCCATGGTGAAAGAAAGCAGGGACAACGGGGGAGGCGAGAGGGCAGCTCTGCAAAATCCATTTTCTGTAATGTGCAGTTTTACGGGGGGGGGGGACACCTTTTTGGCGATCTATTTTTAGGCAGCTTTCCGTGGTGCTGAAAAGAGAGGATAGTGTATTTAAAAGAGTTAAGAAGTGTCTGTGTGTGTGTGTGTTTTCTTAAGTTTTCACGGGTATTTATATTTATGGTATTCAGCTTTGTTCGGGTATTTTCCCAATACCCAAACAAAGCTGAATACCATACATACATACATATGAAATATATGAAAAGAGAGGATAGTGTATTTCCCGTGGTTCCTCAGCAGGGTAGAAGCTGTGTAACTTCCTTTTTCCCTTAATATTTTTCCCTTTAAAAAAATTTTTTTTGCATATTCAGAATAGAAATAAATATGAAAATTCTGTAACTTCAGCAAAGGTCTTAAAATCCTAACTATGAAAGTCTCATCCATATCAATAGATCAATTATGCTCTTACTGTTGCATTAGAATGTGAATTTATTTAATATCTCAGGCTATTTATCTGGAGAGGAACTTTCCTGGATTGATTTTTCATATTGTGGTTTATTCCCAAATTGTTATGAGTTTAACAGTCTCAACAGCTGATAACTTATGACTTCATAAAAGTGAAACTATGTGATTGAAGGTATAGTATCTGTATGTGTATGACATTACAAAGTTTTAAAATTATTATGGGTAGGATCCTATATATATATGCTAGCTTTATTTCTGGCTTAAGATTCACTTTTCCAGAGAGTTGTCACAGTTGTTCTGGATAACATTTCCTTTTTCTGGAAAGGCAGATTCAAAATGTTTTACACAAGAGCAGTTACTCATGTAAAGCCTTTCTAGCGATTGGGTTACCAAGAGCTGCTAGACTGACAATCCAGCAGCAGGTATTTGATAGGGGTCTCTGGGCAAAGCAGGGTAAATCGGGTAATCAATACTGGCAGATTATACACAGGAAACTGTTCATGCAGCAAATTGGTTATTCAGTACTAACTGCCCAATGCACTGTAAAACTTTTTCCATAGTCCACTTTAATATCTTGCCCTCTGCAGAACTGGGGGAAAGTATAATCATGCTCCTTTGACAAAATGAGCCTGTCCCCGTGATCCAGAGGAACAAGAGATTCTAGTCCACATGTTTCCTCATTGGGCTTCCTTCAGCAACTTGCACCCTAGTGTCATAACTCCACTTACTAATAGAAGTTCCACCTGATCAGAGGATAATCTTGTTTGCTTTTTATAGTTGTACCAGAATCCTAAGAATTCAGGAAAGAAACAGAATTTATTTAGCTTCCATTGCTTTATGCAGCAAATTAGTCCCCTAATTTTACGATTTCATCAATATCAATAAATAGAAGGCACTAAAAGCCTTCTATCTTATTTTATGTTTTATATCTTCTGTTATTTCTCATATTTCATGGATCATAAGGTTCACACACATAGTAGCATGCTTAGTATGCTTAACATGTAAATATTTTATTCATAAAATAATGTTATAATTTAGTTAACTAGCTAAATTATATGTATATATTTCATTCTCTGAACCTCTTTATATAATTTAACTTCTAGAAAATGTTTTGTGTCTTACTCTGAACCTTGCAATTTCTTACATTTGTATAAAATGCTGGTCAGTAACTGTAATAATGACACTATTGTTTGGCTAATCTTGATAGAGGGCTGGACCTGGTGGTGGTTAGATGGGAGACCATTAGGAAATTACAGAACTCTGGGCTAGACTGGGAAGTTGAAAAAAACATCCTGAAAGAAGACATTGATAAAAGCTCTCCTCTATGAATGAAAACCACTTTGATATGTTCATGCAGGCAACTGAGCTTAGCTTGGAGAAGACTGTACTTCTCAATTCCTGACAACATGAAATCTTGCCCCCTCCCTTATTTTGCATGTAAAAATATAAATTTGTTACAGGGCTGAAGTCAATTCAGAGACTTCCAATTGGCTATCTTTATTAAAATAGGTATGTTTTTAATAATGTCACTTAGAACATAAATCATAGAATAACAGGGTTGAAAGGACCTTGGAGATCTTCTAGGCCAATCCTCTTCTCAAGCAGGAGACCCTATGCTATTCCAGACAAATGGTTGTCCAATTTCTTCGTGAAAATCTCCGGTGATGGAGCACCCACAACTTCTGGAACTTTCTGTACTCATTGTCAGGAAATTTCTCCTTAGTTCTAGGTTGGTTCTCTCTTTAATGATCTTCCAGTTCTTGCCTGCCCTCGTGTGCTTTGGAGCATAATTCAATAATTCAATCCCCTCTTGACAGCCCTTCAAGTACTCAAAGACAACTACCAGTATTATGTCACCCTTAATCCAGTGGTTGGATTCAAAAATTTTTACTACTAGTTCTGTGGGCGTGGCAGGGGAAGGATACTGTAAAATCTCCAGTCAGAGGTGGGATTTGCCGGTTCTGTGAACTACTCAAAATTTCCGCTACCGGTTCTCCAGAACTGGTCAGAACCTGCTGAATACCGCCTCTGCCTTAATCCTTCTCTTTGATATGCTAGACATACCTAGTTCTTTTAACCGTTCATCATACAGTTCAACTTCCAGACCCCTTATTATCTTTGTTGCTCTTCTCTGCACAATTTCTAAGGTCTCAGCATCTTTTTTATATTGTGGCCAGAAATGGATGCAATATTCCAAGTATGGTTTTACCAGTTCAGTGGAGAGCAGTACTGTTAGTTCTCCTGATCTTGCTGCTCTCCCTCTGTTGATGCATTCTAGGACTGCATTGGCTTTTCTGGCACCTACAGCACATTGTTGGCTCTTAAGTGTTTGCCCACTAGTTACCACTATTTTTTGTCAAGTTTTTTATTTTATTTTCCATATGCACATCAGTGCATGGACAGCATGGCACCTGGGTATCATACATTTTGATGCAAATAAGAATAATAACATTCATCCTATTTGTTACATTCTTACATAATTCTAATGTATTAAGTTATAGTCTTTCATTATTTAATTATTCAATGTTTCAATATATTATTCTAGTGCCAATCACAATATTGTTTAGACATACATGATAATTTCATTATTCAATTTCTAATCTTCCCTCTAATTATTGCTTTTATCTTATTATATAAAATGTGTGTATTAATAATCCCCCTCTTATTTCTATCTCCATTCTAATTTTTAATCATGTCACCATTATATTTAAAAAACATTTTCCTTTCTATCCCTCCATCTCTTATTCACATTAATACTTTAATTCTTATTCACTTTCATTTTAATAAAAAACAATAGTAATATTAATCATATTCATTACATTCATCGAACTAGTATAATTCTAATATTAATACACATTTATGTTGTTATGCTATTCCATTATTTAATTATTTCCATGTTTCAATATATTATTCTAATGCCAATCACAGTATTAAAACATATATAATAATACTTTTAATCTCTAATTTTCCTGCCTTATTATTGATTTTATTTTATTATATAAAAGTGTATATACGAATATTTCTCCATTTTCTTATTTCTATCTCTATTCTAGCTTTTAATCATACCACCCTTATATTAAAAGACAGTTTCTTTCTAACCATCATCTCTTGTTTGCACTAGTATTTTAATTCTTATTTGTTTTTGGTTTGCCTCCCATATTCCTCTCTTAGATCTTTGTTTCTGTCTGTATCCACATCCTGACTATTCAATCTAAATATTTCTCCCATCTCTACCCTCTTCCACTATCTAAATATCCACCCATGCCCCTATCTCCCTTTCAAAAATATATTCCTGCGTCTCCAGGTCTCTTTTTAAATCTCTTAAAGTATTTTCCCCTTGTTTTATTTTGTTATATTTATTGTTGTCTCCTTATCTTCTTTTGTTTCCTGGTTTGTTCTATTTTTTCCTCCATTCTTTCTGTTGGCTCCTCCCTTTCCTGGGTGTCTTGATCTTTACCCATTGTCCCTTGTATTATATTTTCCAGCTTTGCCATGTATTATTTTCTTGATCTCCTTGTGCTTTCTTATTATAATGTCCTTTATACTTTGATACATCAACACCATACCTTCCAAAGTTCCACACATTTCCCCCTGAAGGAGCATCTTGTCTTGTTTTAATAGGTCCTGCTCTTATCCAGTAATCCTAAAATTAATCCTATATTCAAGCCTAAAATTGCTCTTCAAAAAATACATTGATCATAATTCCTTATGTCCCATAGTTAATCCTTCAGTTCCCTTTAAGTAGTCCAGGAAGTTGTTCAAAATCTCTTTAATTCCCCTTTATAAATTCAATCATGTATCATGACATTCAGGAGTCACTTTAATTAAGACATCTTCCTTGTTCTCATATTTAAATATCCGGTAGTCATAGGGTAGATGCATATAACTTAGTAAATATCTTCACAGTCCTCCAGGTAAGTATTGTTTATTCCATATTAAATATCTTGCCAGGCTTGT